GGCAGTTCCATATACCGATACTTAAGCAAGGTCGAAATGGGTTTTAAAAAGGCATAGCGAGCTTTATGGTACGTTGCCATAATGTCACTACAACAAAGTACTACCATCAGAACAGATCACAGCAGCGAGCAGATAATTAATTTTAATTTGTACCAACATGTAAGCGCGACTATTTCTGTGTGTCTTAATTGTTACTGATGAACAGAACAATGAATGAAAAGAATGAAAAAGAAGAATGTATGAATGGCATGTTTATGGATTAATTTCCTTATATGGGAATTTGCTTTGTGCCATAACAGTGGCAGACGTTGCTAGGATGGTTGCTAAGGCGAACTGGAATTCCCCCCATGAATGAAGGCATCTGATTGGTCAAACAGTATATGATCCTGGATTTTCTAAAATTATGATCACAAGATAAAAACACTAGGATCACAGAGAGCTCTAAACCACATACTTTTTAGCCCAAAATGGTGAGTGTCAATAAGAGCCAGAGTGAGATTTCATTTCAGACTTCATTGCACTGAGCTAGAGAATTAGCTTGTCCATCACTGCAGAGCAAAAAAGTCTCCACAATATTGTCACACTAAACAGAACAGAGTCTAAAATTGGCTACAAAAGGGTTAACTATGAAAGCAAGCATCCGGCAGGTCTAACCCAGCACTGACCAACGCAAATCCAGAGAGGCTCTTTGGGGCCTGTACAATGTTGGAAGATTGTGGCCTGGGGGAAGAGCTAAAGCATGGGAACAAATTAAATTGTGTGGGAACTACATTGTAAATTGTGACCACTTATTAGTATATCATCAGCACGGCCAGGTAGTAAATCTTAGTTTTTGGCTAAGATTAAGACTAAGACAGTGGGGAAATTTCAGTGTTGCATCACAAGTTACAGACGGTAGGAATGAAGAGCACACAGCACAAGATAAATGAATAATAACTCTATAATAAAATAATATTAAATTAAATGTTTAACTCTAGCAAAAAAGAAGAAGTATAAAATCTCTATATTTAGCATAAGGAAGAAGCAAGACTTAAGAACAAAACCCCTGACTTAAGCATTTTAAGGAGAAAGTACAAAATGCTGTATATTCTAGTGCAAGTAAAGCACTTTGATTCTTTATTGTACATTCTGACATATATAGAAGGAGGACAATAAGATGTAAAAATGTGTGAAATTCAAGTCAAGTGTCAGCGTGCACTTTGCAGGTGGTGGATGAATGTCTAATATCGCAAGTAAAATAATGTCTTCTTAAAAACACGAACAGTCAACTCCGAGGCACCAAGATGATTAACGTTGAAAAGTAATTATTCAAACATTACCTTTTAAATAAACACACCGATGCGTTTCAGCTCTTTGAGGCCTTCTCCAGACTTGGCATACACTGTCTGCTTACACTTTTTAAGCAGATATTATCAGAACCGCAAATACATTAAATATTATCTTTAGTTAGCTACTTTTACACCATCGCTTCACTAACTTACTAACTTTAGTAGTCATTCAAACCCAAATTGTGTGCCCAAATTGAGCTAGCCATGCAAACTAAAAATAATAATAATTGTTAGTCATTTCTTTTGGAATTGTGATTTTACAAAGTAGGTTTTCATTCAACAGCCAATGCTTGTGTGTTACCCCATCATTCATATTTTCTGGGGCTTGCCGGAAATGCATTATCTTGTTGAATACTGGGACATTCACCCAAAAAATACAATGTCTAGTTTATAAAATCAGCATTTGAGACTCTAATGAATATCTATTGCTGAATGTCAATGTTTATGCCACAGTTTGGCCTCATGTGTATTTAGCCAACAGGTGTTTCTGCCTAAGCCCCGCCCCCTATTCTGTCTAAGCACCGCCCCTCCAGTGGGACAGACACACCTGAGCCGGCTGGACCACACAGAGCAGAGCACACGCCCTTCTATTCAAACCACTCACACTGGAATTCCTCATGGAGACATAACAATGACCCAGTTTTAAAAAATGTTAAGGTCCTGGTTTAGGCCTGTTCAAAGAGCAAGATCCAATCACAGTTTGTTCATACACACAACAAATTCAAAGAAATGCTTTTATTGCCTTGTTTTAATACAGTACTTGCAGGACAATGAGCTGCTAGTATCCCCCTGGGGTACAAGAAAGGATTTGGACACAGCTTTATCAGATTTTGATCTGCAGAACTGATGACGAAGCACACATTCCTGCTTCCTGGCGTGTTTATGTGAACAGCAGAGAGACACGAGTAAGTGTTGGGGAAATACACAGGAATTATATGTGATTAGGGCTGTTGTTAGAGCAGAGTTTAGGGACTTGTTATTTTGACTCCATTGAGTTTTGTTAAGAATGTTATTGTGAAAATAGATCGGATTTCCAGAGTACTTTGATTATCAGGAGGAGTGCGTTAAAACATCACATCATTAAATCGTGTTGTGACCAGTAAAAACCGTCGTCATTTGGCTTTGTTTTGCTCCATCAGGTGTTGGGTAAGTGATAGATTACAACAAGAAGACCGGCGGCTTATATTCAAGAGCAGTCTATATGTGGACAAAATGTACTTTCTCTTAACATTTAACTGGTGTAGTTTACACAGTGTTGCTTAATAGCCCGGCCAGTACTGTACTGTAAAAAAGAATAACAGTAGGGAAATTACAGACTATGTCCTAAAATATTGCATTGAGCAGCGTGTAATTTGGTTTGTCTACAGTTTTCCTTGCAAAGTCTTAATTTAGTTTAGCAAGCCTCAAGTCTCCAAATTGGCAGTCTATTCAAGTCATTGTATATGATGAATGTAAGGATGAATGTCTTGTGAAGCCCATAATCATTTTGGTTACAGTATCCCGGGTGGCCTTTTAGCGCACACACTGGTGAGGGACTTCAGCTAACATTACTCTATCCAGATATTATAATAGATCCATGGTTCCAGGCTAAAAATGAAAATACAAGTTCCTACTTCAGAGCAGTTTGACAAATAAAGCCACGTGTAAACAAAATGGCTAACGAACGACTATTTTTTTTAAATCAACAACTCTACAGTATTTTTATCTTTGTTGTACACGGTCACAGTTCATTGCATATGGGCCCAGTTCACAGACACCAGTTTGAGCCAAGAAATGCCAGTTTGAGCTATTTTAAGGGCTTTTTAGGTCGGAGAAAGTAAACATCCCAGTTGCACACTATCATTCTTGTGTGGAAGTTGAGAATAGAAATAAGACAATTGCAAAGTCTGTAGATCATTGTCCCCATATAATGATTCATGTTTAACTTCCAAGGTCCTTTCATAGTTTAAACTGACCACAAATAACAGCGTTCCCAAAATAGAGCTCTGTGGTACACCTAATTAAATGTAGTTAGCCTTTCAACGTTTCCAAAGCGACTGGTCCCAAACCACTTTAAAAAAAAAAAGTGGTTTGGGGCCATTACTTTAGCCTTATGCTAAAGTAATGATTTAAATAGGATTTTTGATCGCAATAGATACAAGTTGTAAATTATGAAAAATATAAAAAATAACACAAAACACCTATAGAGTGACAATATAACTCATAACTGGCATTTGTGACGAATAAACTAATAAAAATAAAATAGATAAATTATACAAATGATTACACCAATAGCTTTGACTTGATGAAGACTGAGAATATTAGAGATCCTATACCTACAGTGGGGAAATGTCAGTGTTGCATAACAATACAGAATGAGGAGCACACAACATAAAATAAGTGAATTTTAGGTATAGACTGCTGCAGTTGTCTAGGGGCCAGCATCACAAATTGAACAGTTTTGACTGAATTTAGGTTCCTCTGAGCTTTAAAATATGGAGCTGAAATTGGTTCCATGACAAATGTAGACAAATATTATCAACTACATTCGCAAAGAATCAAAAACAAATGTCAAGATACAAACAAAGTCAATGACTAGATTCTAGGGGTTCCGAGTTTTACAATGAGATACAGCATGGCCATATTGGTGGAGCTAAAGTTGGCTGGATGACACTGTGAACTTGTGTCTCCTGATCTTTGTGTGTATCAAGGCAGACGGCCACATAATGACACCGAGGGCCGCAATCGGAACACAGGCCTTAGTTTGGATACCCCGGTTTTAAGAAATAAATTAAACAATCTCCAGTTTAACAAATAAACTAAGTACAAAGAGATAACACAAAAAAGGTTTACACGTATATTCTAGTACAAAAAAATCCAACAACATATAAATGGATTGTCAAATATCAATATAAAAACAAGCAGCCGGAGTGAAGGGCTATGCATTCTTCTCTAACAAAAACAAACAATATGAATGATTAATACGTTTAATAATGTTGTAAACACAGGCAAGAAACGTGAAAAGATACATGGAAACAATTGGCCAAACTTCAATCAACATAAAGCTAGTTTGGTTGTGCAATTCTCTTTTGAAGTGGCAGTCGCAGTTAGCAGATCTATGTGGAGCTGAAGTTGGCTGGATGACACTGTGAACTTGTGTTTATGCTCTTTGATGTATTTTATGATCTTTGGGCCACATAATATGACACCGAGGGCCGCAATCGGAACGCAGGCCTTAGTTTGGATCCCGAAGTTTGGATTTCAAGAAATGAATACAAAAAACTCAACATTCAGCTTCATAAATAAACAAAGTATAACAAGATAAACATATGCCCCTGTGTATATATAGTGCAAATACAGATACGTATAGATGAAGTGTCAAAAATCAAGCAGCCTGTCTGAGACTATTGCAAATGAATCTATGAGGAAAGCTTTGCATATTACTCTGATAAAAGGAAATGATATGACGGATTGATATGTGACAAGATACATAGAAAGACTTGGGCAAACTTCAATCAACATAAAGCCAAGTGTGGTTGTGCAATTCTGTTTTGTGATGGCAGTCGCAGTTAGGTTAAAAGATGTAGCACTTGTTGAGGTGAGTGATCGATGTTGGAAAATGAGTTGATTTGAGTTTTTTTAGCTGTCAAAAAGCACATTTAGACCAGAAGGAGTGCACCTTTTTGGGCTTACCTGCATACCAGGAACTTCCATGGTGAGCGCCGATTACTACTTCTCGCCTCCTCTCCCCCCTCCGTGACTTTTACTCCAAGAGATTCCTGAGTTTGTGTCAATTATTCCAACAGAGAAAAACAGGTGAAAAAAATCCAAAGTACAGTGGTCAGAATGTGGCCCGAGAAGAAGTGATAAAGTTTAGACCGAGAGACGCGCGGAAGAGAAGTGAGTGAGAAGAGTTCAGAGGAGAAAAAAACAGGTTACTGCCCACTTTCAGGGAGGAGCATAAAGAGAGAGCTCTGTCAATGAAAACACAGAGATAGCACAATGTGTCGCCATCTAGTGGGCGGTTTTAGACTGTTTTTGTCATGATAAATGAAGAATGTTCATGTGTGTGTGTATTTACAGTCTATGGTCCTACTCCTTCCACAGACTCAGACTCACAGAGGCCTGGTCCTTCCACAGACTCACAGTGGCCTGGTCCCCCCACAGACTCACAGTGGCCTGGTCCCCCCACAGACTCACAGTGGCCTGGTCCCTCCTTAATATTTACAGTCTATGGTCCTACTCCTTCCACAGACTTACAGAGGCCTGGTCCCTACACAGACTCACAGTGGCCTGGTCCTTCCACAAACTCACAGTGGCCTGGTCCTTCCACAGACTCACAGTGGCCTGGTCCTTCCACAGACTCACAGTGGCCTGGTCCTTCCACAGACTCACAGTGGCCTGGTCCTTCCACAGACTCACAGTGGCCTGGTCCCTACACAGACTCACAGTGGCCTGGTCCTTCCACAAACTCACAGTGGCCTGGTCCCTACACAGACTCACAGTGGCCTGGTCCTTCCACAAACTCACAGTGGCCTGGTCCTTCCACAGACTCACAGTGGCCTGATCCCTCCACAGACTCACAGTGGCCTGGTCCTTCCACAGACTCACAGCGGCTTGGTCCCTTCTTAATATTTACAGTCTATGGTCCTTACCCCTTCCACAGACTCACAGCGGCCTGGTCCCTCCTTAATATTTACAGTCTATGGTCCTTACTCCCTCCACAGACTCACAGTGGCCTGGTCCCTTTACAGACTCACGGTTCTTTCCTTCCACAGACAGTCTTCAGGCTGCTGCTCCAGGTGCCCAGGTCGCACAGTGCCAGTGAACAGTGGGGTTCTGATACGGCATCTAACCTTTCGGTTCAAGGAACGTCTGGAGGAGTCCGAGAACAGCATCATTCAGACTCTGACCAATGGTAAAATGAGCTCATGTCACTGCAGACTGCTCTGAGAAAGCACTGGACAGACACACTCTACCTGGACTCTACACATTTGAATGCATTGTCCTTTTTTGTATTCCCTTTTCTTTTCTTTTGTTTTTGTTTAATGGACCAATTTTTATCTATTTTGTTGATGAAACAGTACAAAAAAGCACAACAATAAAAATAAATAAATAAATAAAAGCATAATAATTCAATGTTGCACTACCACTCATAGTTCTGCCATACATGCATTTGTATACACATGTATATATATAAATATATATATATATATATATATATATATATATATATATATATATTATATGTATACGAATATGTATATAAACAGAGGCACAAATCAACAATACAATGTAAAAAATGAAAACAACAAAATAACATAAAGAATACTAACATACATGAATCAAAGATATGAGCGTTTCCATAATGCTTTTAGACTTGAAATAGAATGAAACAGAAAAGTTGTATGTAAATTAAAGGAATAACGTATATGTTATCTTAATTGCAGTTAACAGCACAGAATGATATGTTGTTTATTTTGGCATATTTCGTTTTGTGACGTCACCCGGAAGTGCAGACAGGGGGCGGCGGGGGAGACAAGATGGCGTCTCTCCGCTGTCGGCGCGATCCCTGCGGTGTTATTTGTCTGATATTAACTTATTTCAGCGTGTTTTATGCGGACTACGTGGTCATACAGTACGTCCTCATCCCTGCCTACTCCGACAGGTCTGTCCTCTGTGTTTTTATCCACGTTTAGCGCCTCAAAACTGAACATGGCGTCGGTGGCCATTCATTTGACAGAAAACAAACAGGTTCCTCCAGCAGCACTGCAGCAGCTTGATCAGCACTTTTCAGACGATGCTTCCATAATGACCCTTTTCTAATATTATAACAGCTTCTATGGTGTTTTTTAAGGTTTCTTCCCATATTATGTTAATCAAAATGTCATTGCAAACCCGTGTAGCTGCTTTGTGAACACATTTGGATACATTATTTTGTCCCTCCCTAAGGATACACACATCTGTTTAAGCCAATAATACATCTGCATGGACACTTTTATAGAATATATTATGCCTCATGCAACATTATGAGATTCTAGTCAAACATATTGTATTTTTAATTGAATATGGCGAAATCAATGGTTTGTCTATGCATGTGTTAGTTGTGTTCTGTAATATGACGTGCAAGTTTGAAATAATCTAATAAAGTGAACTGTGTGATGCAAATTTAGTATTCAAATGTTCTGCATTCCTTAAAGTTACGCCACGTTTCTCTGTACTTGCATCTTTCTATTTGTTTATTGTAACATGTTTACATTATGTAGTTTCCTTCTGTTTTTTTACATGTTTCTGTTTTCTCACTGTGTTTTCAGTGTGTGGTGCACCATCCATGGCACTATTTTTAACCTGATTTTGCTGCTGCTCCTCGCCTGCCATTCCAAAGCTGTCTTCTCTGACCCTGGTAAATCAACAAGGCTTTTTTAATTTAACAAAGTTATATTGGTTTTTATCACGGTTTTACCCCAAATTCTTCACATCGCGCTAGTTATGTTCTTGTTAGAGACTTTTTATTCAAACTCTTAATGATCACCGTGAAACTAAAGGGGATAACTAATAATGTTATTTTGTTCATGGGTAATAAATGACATTTATTTTTTTATTTCCAAGGTTTTTGTTTATGTTAATAAACAATAATAATAATACATGAATAATCTTGACATCATCCTTTTCATAAATGTATTATTCCAGGGATGGTACCTCTTCCAGAAACCGCCATTGACTTCTCAGATCTTCGCTCTCAGTCTTCTCGAATGAATGAGAGGGTCAGTATCCTGCTTAGGCCACAAACCCTCTGGCCTCATCTCTGTGACTTACGCATGCTCCTCTCCCATGAGCCGTTTGTAAACCTATAGACTGTAGATGTGCAGAAGAGTGGTCACACCAGCAGCTGCAGGTCTGGGCCCACGTTTAACATAACAGAAGTGGCTTTATTACAGAGGAAGTAATGTCGTTATCAGACTTCTATATTTGTTTTTTTGGACGGGACAGTGTGTTGAACAGCCGTAACTGTAACAACACCAGATTGTAGCTATGGAGATACTTCCTCTACATTATCACATTTTATAGGGAAAAGAGTATTAAATTGTTCAAATTCCTATCTGTAGATGTACACACTAATCAACATATTTAGAGCAATAATATGAATAAATGAAGAAATAACAAGCAGAGGGGTGTTGTTGTGTGTTCAGGGCTGTGAGGGCTGGACCGTGTGCAGCCGCTGTGAGACGTACAGACCTCCACGCGCTCATCACTGCAGAGTCTGTCAGAGGTGCATCCGCCGCATGGACCACCACTGCCCCTGGTACCTCCTGCTCTGTCCCCCTGATCCCGCCTACAGCTCTAGCTCTGCTCATCATGGCTTCTCTGTTTTCTCAGGATCAATAACTGTGTGGGGGAGCTGAACCAGAAGTATTTCATCCAGTTTCTTTTCTACACTGGTCAGTCATGAGCAGCATGTATTTTGTCGACTTTGTCATTGCTACGCATAATGTTTTATTAGAGGGCGGATGCAAGATGTATGTCATTTCAATTATACATGTCATATTCTTTGTGAACTAAACTATCCTGGTTAGTTAAGTTATCCTGCCATAGAGCAGCTTTTCCATTAGTCTAGAACAGTTATTCTCAGCCTGTGGTTATGCCTTCTGCAGTTTACAGTGTACTCAAGGCAAAATCGGCAAGTTCAGGGCACCCATACTACCCTGTCTGTTATGATGGTGTTTTATGTTTATTTGGAAATGTATGCATTGTGTTCTAATCTACCCTGTTAGGCATAGCTATGGGGTCCCTACCATATTTGATTAGAAAGTTTCTTTAACTGTCTTTACAAAACCTATAGAAATCTATAGCAAACCCAGGAGAACACATACTGTATTTCCCTTGAGCTCAAATTGACCCAGTGATTAAAACAATCTCAAGAAGTGGTGATTTTTTGTAACTTGCCCTGCCCTGGGTGTAGACCCTGTTAGACTCTAAGTTAGGGCATTTATCTTCTACTTTTAATCACTGTGGCCAAAGATAGCACAAGGGATATCTTTTTAATCATCTGAATGCCGATGTACTGTGTCCGCATGTGTTGGTGCACACAACAACCCATTTAAAGTGTACTTTTTGTAAGAATAGAAGTTAAACTCAAATGCAATTTTCAAGTTCATTTAACATTTCTTAATTAAACCCTTGGGGAGTGACGTGAAAGAGTGTGTTGAGATAAGTGGACATCCCCTGCTTTATCGTATTAGGGAAATGCATTTACTTCATATTCAACTATTACTTGAATATGGTAATAATAAAATATGGGTTATTTATTCAATTACAAATTTCATCCTTTCAAAACTGATCAAGGGTTGATGCCCACATCCAAAGGGTTTTCTCTCATGTTTCTCAATGGGTTTATTTTGTTATGTTGTACATATTACAATGTATTAATTTATGAGTAAAACACCTGATTTGATTGTTTGCTTCGTCAGGAATGGCGAGCCTGTATTCCCTGGTTCTGGTGGTGTCTGCGTGGATCTGGAGGATCAGAAGTGAGAGGACGGAAGACTCAGAGAAAGAGTCCGAGGAGTCGCCCAGTAAACACCTGATTGTGTGAGTCCAGATCACAAATGTCACTTAAAAAATAACAGGAAAAGAACTGTCCCATCAGTCTCTTTTTTCATATTCATGTTACATCATTGAGTCACTCTGGGGAGATCTCAAATGTGTAGTTCATGCCAGGCAGCCCAGAAATGTACAGAATCTCAAGCATTTTTCCCTGAGTAGAATGGGCCGCTTTACCATCAGAGAATAAAGAACCTCATTCACAAAATACTCCAAGCTTCGTAGATGTTAAAGAGGCAATAGCATAGACCTTATTTGAATGATCAAAATGCTTATCCGTTACCATTTTGGGTTCAAACGATTTAGTCCTCCTATGATCCTGGTGTTTTTATTTTGATAGTGACTTTTTAAATCTCAAGAGGCCTTCGCAGGTCTGGCCCCTGCTACACCCCCAACCCAACCTTGTAGGAAAGAAATGCCCATATAAGGAAATTGGCTCCAGCTAGCTTATGTTCAATCAGCTTCTTCCACATGGGTGACATCAGCATTCCTAATATACAGTCTATGGCCAATACACGCTGTTGAGAACTGACAGGTGGAAACTTTAAATCATTACAAATGTAGCATTATTTTTAAGCCATTATAATTACCAAAAAAATATGGTGAAACATATTTTTCATTTCTGGCTGGGTGTGTGAACTTTCAAGCATTGCTGTACTCCTGTGATTCTCATGTTGGTCTTTTTGTGTGACTCAGGGGTCACTACATCATTCTTCTGGTGGAGTCGGTGCTTTTTGGAGTTTTTGTCATGGTCATTTTCTACGACCAGGTAACACTTTCTGATTGGGAATTATTTAATTTACTAGATGACTGATGTGTTGTTGGGGAAAATAATTATTTTTTGTATTTTGGGGTTTTTCTAGTCCTCACTTATTCTATTTTCTGTCTGTTAAAGCTGATCTTATGACGAGGCAGATTAAACGGAGGCCAAACAAACGTGTAAATCTATTGTGAGTGCCTGTTTTGGTGCCAGGGACTAGTGACTGAATAATAATCATGGCTGCAGTTCTGTCAAATGTGCAGCAGGGGTCAGTGTTTCTTTTACCTGGCGTATGTGAAAGCCAGTTTCTGTTAGACCTTAGAAGTGCTTAGGACAGGGCCTGGTTAGTGCTGTGATGGGAGACCCCTGGGGAACACCGGGTGCCTGTCACTGTGTCCTTAGGCAAGTCACTTCACTCACTTTGCCAAGAATGAGTCAGGTGTGTGTATGATTGGTGATCAGAGCTAGGGGCAGATTAGTTGCTACTTCAGTAGTGTATGAGTGAGTGATTAATGCCTTGCAACAATCAGGATTTTAGCAAAACAATACATATATAGCATGTTTACCAACGTCATTCAGCATGCCACTGTATAATAGACTTTTAAAAGTAACCTTATTATGCAAACGTTAAGTTAATTCTTTGTGCTAATTGCTTTGTTACTATGGTGACACAGCTATGAGTGGAATCCTCACTGACCATGGCATAATGTTTATTGGATATATCTGACCTCACACAACCGCCAATAATGAGTGCAGTAAATTAATAATAATAATAATAATAATGCATTATTCTTCTCTTCAGCTGGTGTCAATCATCACAGATGAGACGCCCATTGAGCAGATGAAGAACAGACTGATGCTCATCAACAGAGGTCCCGCCTCTTCATCGTCATCGTCATCGTCACAAGTGACCAACCACACGCCTCACACCAGGAAGCCCAAACTCGCTTTGCTACGAGAGGTCTTCGGCAGAGGTGCGTGTTGAGCTGTTTAACAGTGATGCAGTGTGTTTGCCAGATGGTTTTTTCGATTGTTGTACACATGTAAAACACTCTATACAAACATAATGATGCACTTTAACTTTAACCTCTCTACAGTTGTTTTTATGGATCAGTTTATACGTCTGTATTATTCACCCTTCTGGTTCCATTGGTTTATGTTATTTTAACAAAATATAGATTGAAAAAAGTGTAATCACAACTTATTGAAACACTTCAACTAATTTAGTAATCATTTAATAGTTTGTTGAACTTAACATAGATTTAAACATATTCAGAAGAGGTAGATAAGTCTAGAACAGTGTTTTTCAACCAGTGGGCCGTGGCCGGTGAGTGTGATGTTGTTTGTTGTGCCTTTGGAAATTATCCACCTATTGGTCACTTGAACTTTGTTTTGGTTATTTTGGTACTTTCACTGACCTTTTAGTTTTTTACATCCCTAAAACATAGTTAGTACCAGATGATTACAGTAAAGATCTTCAGGGGCTGTTGAACGTTGTGACTCCAGTTAAACTCTTGAATCCGAACAGGCGGAACAGTGACATATGTTGCGTGCCCTCGTCTTGTGCTCAGGGTCCGTGTTGTGCTGGCTGTTCCCGCTTCACACCAGCCCTCCCACTGTCGGCGGCATCACGTACTCCGCTCTCCCAGACTACGACGTCTGACCTCTGCGGACCGCAGCTTCTTCCAAGAGTGTCTCCCCCAAAGCACTGAGAAAAACACGAGGTATCGGCGCTCTGGGATTCAGAATATGTCGTGTTATGCATTTATTTAGCCAAGTATTTGTTTATTTATAACAATATTTTACTCTTTTAAAGGGAATAGCACTATGTCATTGTTACAGATACCGTGCAGATGTGCTTGAATGTTTACACCCCCACACATAGATTTCATTGTTTGGTCATATTTTGATAGAGATAAGCATATCATCACTTCTTTTTTCCTTTTATCGTTAACAATATAATTGAGCTGATCTGTGGAGAGCTCACATGTGTAGCTCATGCATGGCAGCCCAGGAAATTACTGGAAGCTTTTTGCTAAGAAGAATGGGCGACCTTAGCAACCTGATACATAAGCCAGTTACATTTTACTTTGTGGAAAGTTGTGTGAATTGGCGATGTTCTGATTGGTTTGCTCTACAGTGGGCGGATACCTTTGCTTTAACAAGTCGCCAAAGTGAAGTCTGTAGGAAGCTCTTGTCCTGGCTTTAAACCCTCAGCAACGTGGATCTTTTCAAACTCAGAATATACGGCTTGCTTTTTTTCCTACTAACGGTAGCTTGAATTGAGTCGTTCAAGTTTCTGCGATGCCTGACCCAGTGGCAGGAGTGAAATGAAACTGAGCAGAGGCACTAGGTGGGGCTGTCCTGGCTCCGTCAGAGAGGAAAAATAATTTCATCCTCAACTACCACCATATAGCTGACATGGACAAGGGGGAAACACAAGGTATAGAGAACAGGGGGATGGAGACTTCTGGGCGCGGTCAGAAGAGGAGTTTCTCTTGTCATTATGATATAAAATGAGAAAACACAATAATTTGACCAAATTAGTGTAAACAGAATTTTGGTTGTTATTGATCTCCAAAATGTGGCCAATCACATTCTGCCTGAGGGTGTTAACTTTCATGCACAACTGTATAAATGTTATTTTTATTTAAAATGTCAATAGTACATATTATAGATGTATATACAAGTTATTTTCTAAAGGTCATGTCAGCAACATCAGGTTTATTTCATTTAATAACGTATTGACTAAAGGATACTGTACTATCATATATTTAAGACAGTCCCTCCCATTTTCATAACTACCAGCAGTTAGAGTTGCTGGAGAAAAAAATGAACCAATGACGAGGGGCCTCAAGGATTTTAATTTATTTCATCCAATCAGGAAGCTGCAGAGGTGAGAAGTAACTGGCATCCACTTTCATATTCTTTTCATGATAATTGCAACAATAAATGCATTACATAAGAAAAAATAAACTAGATATATTCTGAATTCAAGCCACTCTATCTCACGGTGACAGTTTGGCAGAGTAAAACCAGTGTCTTAATCCGGGACCAGTTGAATGAGTGAATATTTAGTTTGTTTACTGTGAAAAAGTTACTGAATAATGGTAATAACTTTATTTATTTTGTCTTTTATGCAAGCAGCAATTTCCGTACTTTAGTCATTAAGTTTTCCTATTGAACCTTTTTGTGGTCTTAAGAAGGATGTACAATTATGAACTGAAACTTGACACTTTTGCCTTTCTGTGTTTTATGTCTATATTTTTTTATGATCTATTACAACATTTACATTCATTAAATCAGAAGAATGTCAATGGAGCATGTTACTCTCGACCAACTCTGATCAAATGCAATTGTACATAATTTCTTTCCCTTAATCTTATTTTTGCTGCCTTCCTAATTCTCCATGATTACTTATAGATAGATTTTATTTGACTGTCTACTGTGTTACTCCATTATAAGGGGACTTCAGTCAGTAAGGGCTGCACAATATTTAGTACTCTTATGTTGAATAATCCAAATTTCTTCGTCTGATAGGAATGCATTAACAATGTACAGATAAAACGATTGTATAAAGTCAGAATTTGTCTAATTTTCTCCCAGTTTAAAGGGACGTCTATGCAGTCCCTAATATGCAGTCTTGGTGACTCATGTGGCTCCTCAGCACTGATTACTGATGCAATCCACCTACCGGAGTATCGCTTTGTTTCACCTGCTTTCATTTGAGCAAAAACTGTGGTGCTGTTTTTCATTTGAGAATGTTGTAATTAAAAAGAAAAGATATGCAGAGGAGAAATTGTGAACATAAATATTATCAACATCTTGCTCCTTGCATTTTAAATTATGAAAAAGTCCAGTTCAAACTTTTGGTCAAAAAGGTCAAATATGATGTCTACATGGGACCTGTAACCTGGCAGCACACATGTAGGAGATGCATTAAGTACCTATATTTTAGAATAATATTTTTATGGCTCTTTTTGGGACCAGGAAAGATCCCAAACTATGAATAAAAATGATATCTCCAAGGTACAAGCTTTTGATCGTTCCATTGCCAAAGTTCGGTTGATGCATGTTTGAGTTATATTTATTTCGGTCATCATTATGCCAACAATTACCAAAAATGTCTACTTTTTTAATAATACGGAATATCATGGTTTTATTCTAATATTGTGCAGCCCTCGCTAACACTATGAAAACCGAGGCATTGTGAAGTTTTTTTGAAGGGATTTCATTGTTTTCAGCAGTATTTTAGGATGCACTATGTAACTTTGCTGCCTCACCGTCTCCATGGAGATGCCACTGCTTTGAAGGACTGCGATCAAACGGCAGGTCTGTAAGAGAACTGGTATTTGGAGAACTGGTAACGCATTAGTTACTTTTTCCTCAATTGTAATTTATTTGTATTTTATTTTCCAAAACGGTTTCAGGAACATTGATTTGAGTAGTTTTGTTATGGTCTGGGTTTATGCACTTAAAACATGTTTCTCTAGCGTTTGATAAGAATTGATCAACACACACAGGTATCTAGATAAGTCATCATTCACTATTTACAATGAGTGTGTTTACAAAGCACTAGCGAAAAACCAAATTCTATACCTTCTCCAACTCAGGTGTGAAAAATCAGTCCATTCCAAGGAGCTGGTGCTGGTTCTAATGCGGTTGTATATATCATATTAGATTGAGACGACAGGCACAGATGCATTTAAGATCACAGGGAAAAGCCTCGTTTTAATAAAATCCACAGAGATGGGAGCGAGGTCGTCAGTACAGGAGGCACATGCCAGGCCTGTTATGCATGTTTTAGTGGTAGGGGAAAACCAGAGCACCCAGAGGAAAACACAGCAGATGTGGACAACATACAAACTCCTCAGAAAGGTCCTGTTCCTATTGGGATTTGAACCCAGGACCTTCTTGCTGAGAAGCGAGAGTGCTATCCAGCGACTGTGCATCAGCTGAAATTTAAGTACATATTTTAGCCTTGTACATGTCTATCATATAATTTAAGACACCAGAATAGTAGAAATTGTGGGTGAAACAGACATTGTCACTGTCCCTTTAATTCTGATCTATCAAAATGCAATCACCAATGTTCAATGTATGCAGTATTACATTAAACAAACTACACACTCACTACCAGTGTATAATACAGTTTTAGACAGGGACTGTATAGTATTTCCTTGACTGATTCAAAGACAATATTTCACATTTTAACCCTCAATGATCTCACTGTTATATTATCGAGGCCTCATTTGCAAAACTACTCAAATTGGGTTATTGTAACTGATAGATGTACAGTTGTGCTTGAAAGTGTACGCACCCAGTAATTACATTATTTTGGACATATTTTGGACATTATGAAGGATAACACTATAGACTGAATATTAGGAGTGGACTGACTAAGTGAGTCTTTTTAAAAATATATACTGTATGTATACTTTGTTTTTGAGTTTTTGCCTTTGTAATTCCATTGGTCAATAATCCATAACTCAAAAACATGAGAAGGCGACCATTAAAATGCAAATGAAAATATTACCGTTAAAAATAAAAAGTAGTAAAATAAAAAGATTGAGATAAAAAATAAAAATAACAGTACTAAATAGTTGTTTGTCATAAGGCGGGAAAGAAACGATTAGAGCTAGCTCGAACTACTCTTTGAGCGGGAATGTGGAGTCAAATGTATGAAAATGTTGTTGGTACACCAGTCTGTCCCAAGTCTCTGCAACCCAAAATGTCCACCTATTTAAAATAATGCAAGAAATAAAATACTTCTGCAAGACCGCGCCTATCCGAGCCAAACGAGTGTGGGACGAGTTGGTTGCATAAAATTGTGTATTTATGGAAAAACAATTGGATTAAAAAACTAAAAGTTCTTGATGCCAAATTCAACTACTCCACAAAATCCCAACCGTTTGAAGAAGCCGTAGGTTCAGCTGAGGACGAGGCATTTTTATTGATCACTGAGGTCTGTGGGACCTGAGGCCGCAATCGCTGAAGACTTCCTTAAGCGAACAATGCCCTAATCCAGATATACTGTACATCCATGGTCCCAATCGCGGCACTTGCTAGCTAAACCTGAATTTGGCGGCAGAAGGCCTCTGATTGGTCAGTTGTTTGGACTCTTATCTGGATTAACAAAGACAATATCACAAATGAAACACTAGAATCATAGAGCCCAAAATGCTGAGGGTGACGCAAACAGCTACTGAACCAGAGCGGTTTACTTTTCAACTTTAGTCAATAGGAGCCAGAGTGAGTTGGAGCAAAACTTTGTCCATGAGCACTTCCCTGTTGAGTTTCCCTGTTGAGGGTTAACACACTAGTTTTCACTCCTCGTTCGTGGTTGTGTGAAGCCATTCATTGTCAAATAAATGTGTCTGTTTTAAAATGAGAACATATTTGATCCGTTCTGCTTTGTCATTTGAAAATAGAAAAAAAAACATGTTTATTTGAGAATAAATGGCTTCAGACAACAATGATTATCTCTGAAACATGGCCGACAGACCCCTCTCCATTTCTGCCTGTAAACTTTCAAGTACAACTAATAAACTACTTTCACGCATTGAAGTTTTAAATTCATATTTTTGTTTGTGTTGTTACTAATGCTACAGTGCATCTCTTCCCAGTGTGGGTTTTTATTTGTAAATAAAACGGTGCATATTTTATACTCGATTCAACGTGCAATTCTCAAAGGGACGTCCGTTGCATCTTCTCTTAAGCTTTATGTCATTATTGTGTTGTGAAAATTATGTGTTTTGTCTTTTTCTGTTCATTTGACGAAGGAAAGAATGTGTGTAGAGAAAACACGGATGTGAAATTTACAACAAAGTCAGAAAAAAAAAGTAAATTAAAATGGCTGTTATTTTTCCTCTTTGACTAAAGATGGGATACAGAAATTATGTCTATTGGTATTTATTCATAAGCTATTCATAATAACCTAATATATTTGATGGACTGGTGAACTTCAAAAGATGTCATGTGTTGTGCAGAACTTAAAGCTAACACAACAATATACCTGTATCTGGCCCTTTATGGGTTTTAAAAAAATATTCTAAATCGAAAAATATGGAGAATTTGTATGTATTTTCTTTGCCCATTAAAAGATGCTGAGACTATTTACATAATAGTGTTAAGGTTTTAGAATCTGAAATAATCTCAGAAGTTTCATATGGTGAAGCAAGTATCAAGGGTAAAACATGCTTTCCACCAGTAACTGCCATTTCTGCCACCAGAGGGAAGAGTGTAATTTGAAATGTACCTGCTGAAAACACAGCCAGGCGATTGTAAAGAACCTTCTTTGGGCGATACTCTTTCTCTGAGTGTGATGTCGTAGTGGTACAACGACATCATACTATTACGGGACTGAAACGGGAGGTTTTAGACTAGACAAGGGCTGCCCAAACTTTTGAGTAAGTCGGCCACGCCACATTAGTTCATCAGATTTAAAAATGGGGTATAATGCCATATTTACAACCCAGCCACATTGGCGCCAAATATGAAATTGTACACAAATAAAGAAAAGGATTGGATTCCAAAGGTTCAGAGTTTCTTTAAATCTATTCAATTTATTCTTGTATAGCCGTAAATGAACAGTTGTTATCTCGGAGGAATTCGGCAACACAGATCAGAGTCAAACGGTTCAAGAAAGAAGCACAAGAAATGCAATGCTAAAAAACGCTTAAAGCTAGGGCTGGGCGATAAAACGATAACGATATATATCGCGTGTCAATGGTTATGTGTGTCCATGCGAGGCATAGCATGTGCGGCGCGGGTGAGGCAGTGGACACGGAGACCCGATGCATGCGGCGAAAGCAAGAGCTGAACTTTTTCTTCCGTGCGGCCGCTCTGATAGCCCAATGTGCCGTCATTGGGGCACAAAACAGGAGATTAACCAGGACTAAACCAGGATTACACCAGGACTATGGGGGAGACTGCTTGTGAACATATTCCTCTAGCCTCATTCCCCCGTGACTGTAAACAAGGCTGCTAACGTGTGTAAGCGACAAACGTATTTTTTCAGGTGGAAAAAAAATTCTATATATATCGTTATTGACCGATATGAATTACATATATTGTGATATAGGTTTCAGCCATATCGCCCAGCCCTACTTACAGTAAAGCCATTGGTCCATAAGGGGTAGATGACCAATGTCCATAAACTGTCCTTTGACCCTCCTGCATCGGCAAAAGGAAACACTCTAAAAATAAAAATGATGACTTTACAACAATGTACAGAGGGACTATATTTGTGAAGCTGAAGTTGGCTGGATGACACCTCCATGGCGACATATACGGGCCACATAAAATGACACGGCAGATTGCTTTTGCCCGCTGTCCTTTTAAGACAGAAGGGACAGAGTTACACGTTTGTATGTGTCTGATAGTAGCATGGATGGATCTAAACACAACTCCATGTCTGTTTTTGATGAGGGAATTATTTTGTAACATGGTTAAAAGATTGCATAATATGTCTCCTTCAAGGGTGCTAGAGAAGATGAGCCAATATTAGTCACAAAAATGTTTTATTCTGTTTTGGATCTGGATATTTTAATATTATAGCATACCATCTGAGTGTCAGTCCATCCGCTTGTATACCAAAGCATTTCACATTTCTTCCATTGCTAAACCAAGTCCAAAACAACCTTAACTTTTAAACTTTTTGTAAATTTCACAGCCGAAGGTTTAAACAGATGTCACTTTACTGCTGCTTTTATGTGTCATGTTTTGCCTCTTTTTGTTTCCGTGTTTTTTTCTGTTGAAACGCTGCTTCTGATTGTTCGACCTGGAGTATAAAATGATGTCTTTGTAAACTACGCTGGTGTTTGGAGTCTTAATTTACAAGGAAAAGAAGAAGTTGAAGAAGAATAAAGAATTGCTGGTCAAGTTAGGAAAAGTCAAAAATTCAGCTTGAAAATAAATCATTTGGGGTATTTTTGGTTTACTTTTATTCACTGTCATGTTGACCCGAGGACAACCGTTACATTAAAGCTTGTGTACTGTGTACTAAAAACTTAACTAAATCTTTCCAAGTTGGGAGTAGTAAAGGGTGTTCTCAGAATGTGAGTGATGGCTCCTGTTCTTCCACAGTTATCAGAGAGGATCTGTAGTGTCATTTTTCACAACTTTAATTCCAAGACTGAAGTTCGCTGGCACTCCTCTTCTCACCATCTCTTCTTTGATCTGAAATTAAAATAAAACCTTTTTTGCAAAAGCATTGGGGGTAATAATGAGGAGAACGGCCAGACATTTGATACATATTTGGAGATAGTGATGAAAATATTGTTTCATTATTTGTTTATTTGAATGGTACAGTATTCATGAACAGCAGGTGCTGTAAACACACCAGATTGTAGCTGTGTAGCTCATATCCATCTATAGTCACACTCACAAACACTCATTCAACCCCCACCTATTGTACATATTCTTTATGGTAGGGGAAACCGGAGTACCTGGAGGAAACCTACGCAACTACACCTAAGGCACCAAACCCAGGACCTTCTTGCAGTGAAGCACAAGTGCTATCCACTGCACCAACCTCTATATTATATGAAAGGGTGATTTTCTATGCAAAAATGCAAGCACGGAAAACAATTATGTTGGCGTATTGAACAAAAAAACAGTCTTAATTGTCCTCATATGTAATAAGCTTCTTTCTAAATCTGCAAACTCAAAAACAGCTTAAATAATATGTGACAAATACATTCATGCACAATTATTCGAGTTGAATGTAAAATGTGTTAAACAATGTCCAACAAACTAAATTCTATTTGGGAGCAGTAAAATGACAATTTTTGACGGACAAATGTTGAATACTTTCCCCACTACAGTCAGTACCTGTGGTAGAAAAGACGCTATAGCTTCCTCAGTCAACGGAACAGGAGATGAAATCTTTGCTTTCAAAAAAGCTGTAAAATCAAACAGAGTAACACTACATCAATATACAACTGAAAAACAATATATTCTTGTTTAAAGGTACAAAATTATAATATCGATGTGAGAAATGTTGATTTGAGTGAAACAAGCAAAGAATCTTGCGTCTCTTTTCAGAGTTTTGTAAAAGTAAAGTCTAACCAAATCACAACACACCACTTCATTTGATCATGACAAATCATATTTAGTTGTGTTACATTATTCTTTATAAAACACAGTGTCATCTATCACCTGTGCAGAGGCAGATTTAAAAATACAGGTTTAAAAAGGGGTCGAATGAAGCACACGCTGGTTTCATCCCAAACCGATCTACTTCAACACACAATAATACACTTCTACTTCATGTTCTATTCAACATGCAGACGTACAGTACAGACAGTAACATGTCCTGGAGTCTGTTGCCAGCTTTAGTGGTCAAATAAAGTAATTGCAATTCTGCCAACTGTTGCCAGAACCTTCCTTCCTGTGACACATGTAGCTCCTAAGCACTGATGACTGATGCAATCCACCTGCTGGGTTTTTACTAGAAACAGTCTAAGCTTTATATTATGCACACTACTTTTGTTTGTATCTACTTTTATTTAGATACGTTTGGTGGCTTTTTTATCTGTGATTGGATAATCTGCGTAAACTGTAAACATATTGTGAACATCATGTTTCACAGTATTTTTCTAAATTAAACTTTTGTTCAGAAAGGCCATATGAATGTGACCTATTATCTGAGGACACATACAAGTTGTAAATTAAAATGAAAATACTACATACAGTCCCTATGAATGTTCAAAATTATACAAAATACAACAAAAACAATATTAAAACAATCATCTTGCCACAATACCTGTTAGAGTTTGTCCAGATCCGCCTGTTGTTTCCATGGTCACAAGAGAAGAGTCGTTGGGTGGGGTAGTAGCATTGGTGGGTGTTGGCGTAAAGGGGGTGGTTGCATTGGTTGGAGGTGGTTGAGTAGCGGTTGTGAATGTAAAGGGTGTGGTTGCATTGGTTGGAGGTGGTTGAGTAGTGGTTGTGAATGTAAAGGGTGTAGTTGAATTGGTTGGAGGTGGTTGAGTAGCGGTTGTGAATGTAAAGGGTGTAGTTGAATTGGTTGGAGGTGGTTGAGTAGCGGTTGTGAGTGTAAAGGGTGTAGTTGAATTGGTTGGAGGTGGTTGAGTAGCGGTTGTGAATGTAAAGGGTGTAGTTGAATTGGTTGGAGGTGGTTGAGTAGCCGTTGTGAATGTAAAGGGTGTGGTTGCATTGGTTGGAGGTGGTGGAGTAGCGGGTGCGGTTGCATTGGTTGGAGGTGGTTGAGTAGCGGTTGTGAATGTAAAGGGTGGGGTTGCATTGGTTGGAGGTGGTTGAGTAGCGGTTGTGAATGTAAAGGGTGGGGTTGCATTGGTTGGAGGTGGTTGAGTAGCGGTTGTGAATGTAAAGGGTGTAGTTGAATTGGTTGGAGGTGGTTGAGTAGCGGTTGTGAATGTAAAGGGTGTGTATTGGTTGGAGGTGGTTGAGTAGCGGTTGTGAGTAAAGGTGTAGTTGAATTGGTTGGAGGTGGTTGAGTAGCGGTTGTGTAAAGGTGTAGTTGAATTGGTTGAGTGTTGTGTAGGTTGATAGCGTTGTGAATTGAATTGGTTGGAGGTGGTTGAGTAGCGGTTGTGAATGTAAAGGGTGTAGTTGAATTGGTTGGAGGTGGTTGAGTAGCGGTTGTGAATGTAAAGGGTGTGGTTGCATTGGTTGGAGGTGGTTGAGTAGCGGTTGTGAATGTAAAGGGTGTAGTTGAATTGGTTGGAGGTGGTTGAGTAGCGGTTGTGAATGTAAAGGGTGTAGTTGAATTGGTTGGAGGTGGTTGAGTAGCCGTTGTGAATGTAAAGGGTGCGGTTGCATTGGTTGGAGGTGGTTGAGTAGCGGTTGTGAATGTAAAGGGTGTGGTTGCATTGGTTGGAGGTGGTTGAGTAGCGGTTGTGAATGTAAAGGGTGTGGTTGCATTGGTTGGAGGTGGTTGAGTAGCGGTTGTGAATGTAAAGGGTGTAGTTGAATTGGTTGGAGGTGGTTGAGTAGCCGTTGTGAATGTAAAGGGTGCGGTTGCATTGGTTGGAGGTGGTTGAGTAGCGGTTGTGAATGTAAAGGGTGTGGTTGCATTGGTTGGAGGTGGTTGAGTAGCGGTTGTGAATGTAAAGGGTGTGGTTGCATTGGTTGGAGGTGGTGGAGTAGTGGTGGTATTTGCATTAGTAGTGTCTGTAGTTGCAGTGACGTTGATCGGTGCAGTAACTGGTGGAGTAGTCGAAAATGAGATAGGGTTGGCATCGTCAAAAGGGTTGCTATCGTCAAAAGTGTTGGTATCGTCAATATCAGCTATAAAGACTGGGGGGAAAAGATGTATTTTAGGAAGATGTTAATATGTGGTAAAAAGTTCACATGATATAGATTACCGTCTCCAACAACCAACAGCACACATCGAACCTCGGAGTTGTAATAAGTAAACAAGGCAATTTCACTGAAACAAAACAAATACAACATTTTATGAAAAAAGTTGTGAGCAGTTTTCTATTTGATACAGTATCTATAATCATAGAACACTCTCAGGTACTACAACTACGCTAATAAAGTGGAAGGCTAATTTAGAAGCAGCAGAGGAGGTGCCAAATACAGTGCCTTGCGAAAGTATTGATTGAACCTTCAATCAGTTGTGCACTGCACAAATCTGGCCTTTGTGGAAGAGTGGCAAGAAGAAAGCCATTTCTCAAAGATAACCATAAAAAGTCTTGTTTAAAGTTTGCCACAAGCCACCTGGGAGACACACCAAACATGTGGAAGAAGGTGCTCTGGTCAGATGAAACCAAAATCGAACGTTTTGGCCACAATGCAAAACGATATGTTTGGCGTAAAAGCAACACAGCTCATCACCCTGAACACACCATCCCCACTGTCAAACATGGTGGTGGCAGCATCATGGTTTGGGCCTGCTTTTCTTCAGCAGGGACAGGGAAGATGGCTAAAATTGATGGGAAGATGGATGGAGCCAAATACAGGACCATTCTGGAACAAAACCTGTTGGAGTCTGCAAAAGACCTGAGACTGGGACGGAGATTTATCTTCCAACAGGACAATGATCCAAAACATAAAGCCAAATCTACAATGGAATGGTTCACAAATAGACGTATCCAGGTGTTAGAATGGCCAAGTCAAAGTCCAGACCTGAATCCAATCGAGAATCTGTGGAAAGAGCTGAAGACTGCTGTTCACAAACGCTCTCCATCCAACCTCACTGAGCTCGAGCTGTTTTGCAAGGAAGAATGGGCAAGAATTCCAGTCTCTCAATGTGCAAAACTGATAGAGACATACCCCAAGCGACTTGCAGCTGTAATTGCAGCAAAAGGTGGCGCTACAAAGTATTAGCGCAAGGGGGCCGAATAATATTGCACGCCCCGCTTTTCAGTTTTTTAAATTATCCAATAAATTTCGTTCCACTTCACGATTGTGTCCCACTTGTTGTTGATTAAATTTTATATCTTTATGTTTGAAGCCTGAAATGTGGCGAAATGTTGAAAGGTTCAAAACTTTCGCAAGGCACTGTAATAAGCATTATGGCTAACACTTGTTCCTCGTGTTTGGTTAGAACCAATGCTTAAAGAAAACATTTAATTAATTATTTGTATCTATTAGAATTTGTAGTGAGACAACAACTTTGTCATTTCATGTTTGAGGATGTGAAATTGTGTCTTAAGTAGAGAATATTTGATGAAACAAGTATGAAGGATACAAAAATGCTTTTCACCAGTTACTCCCAATGCTACCACCAGAGGGAGGAGTTGTTTATTTTTTTTTTTTTTTTTTTCAAATTTGAAAATTACAGGCGGGAAAAACGCTGACATATGATTGTAAAGAACGTCATTTCACCTTTCGAACTAATTTATGGGCAATACTTTTGTTTTAAAAATCAGAAAACTGCTCTGAGTATGCTGTCATAGTGGTACAGTGACTTCATACTCTTAGAAGACTGAGACAGGAGCTTTTAGACAGAAGGGGGGGGGCTACATGTTTGTGCCAGAATATTGGCATGGATGGATCTAAATGGTCTGTTTTTAAAAATGGAACAATCATTTAAAGATCTGTGCCCAGCCTTACTCTGCCCACATGAACATTTGAAAATTCTTGACAGCTCGCTTGTCAGTTGTCATTTCAAGCTTAAAGCAATAGTTTATATAACAGACATTTTCATTCCACCCTTGGTTACACACTAAGATAATTATATGGATGTCACACAGTTCCAGTGACGAAACACAGGCAAACCGGAGCCAATGGAGAGGCCAGGACCAAATTCAAATGTAGTGGCACCAAAATGGGCGCCACACAGACGGTGTTAGGCTTTTAGATTTTAGATTTGATCTAATTTGCACTAAAATGTCGCAAAAATGACTAGGACATGTAGAAGTGCACTATAAGAAACATGATTATGCAGTTTATGAGTTAAAATAAAGTGTTTAGTTTTCCTTTAAAATGGTTAAAAGCTCAAAAAAGTCAATTTGGCTTAATACAGTATGTCTCTCTATTGCTGTGTTAATGCCAAATGCGGCCAAAGCCTTCAAAGAGTCAGGTTGACATTGAAAAAACATGGGGAACGCGCCTGGGGGAGCGTCGAGCGATCCCGTGGTGCGTCCCATGCCCCCCGAGCAGCGCTTCTTCAAGCTTTTTGCTGTGCGGACGCTGCAGGTTTTGAGATTTCAAGCGTTTGTCGCGCCTCCCGTGGCTCCAACGTGGCCGACACTAGAGTTGAAAATGTTGAACTTTTTAGAGTTATTCCATAGACTGTAAAAAATTGACGTAGTCACGCCTATCTCCGCCGTTCTAACTAATGGGCCAAAAATAGTGCTCTACTGGAGCTATCCAAAATGGCCGCGAGTGGTCCCGCCCACAAGAAAATTGTGAAAAAACACATCTGCGCATGCGTCAGCCGGCTCAGCTCCATTCATTTGAACAAGAGTCTTCACAAATTAAATGCAAGTAAACTAGAGTGGATCAAAAAAATTCACCCCCCTCAGCATTGACACACATGTGGAACGGAGCTTTGGGCCAAGAGCCAACTTTTGGACCATCCTGTAAAGACGTTTTCAAGAGGTCTGCCAATGCTATATGTTAGCATTGGCTAATTCTTATTCCGGGTCCACCCCCATCGGCCGGGGGTGGTATTGCAAGCATGTCAGCGCACATAATTTTGGCCGCTTTTGAGCCGGGACCCGCCCCCACTGAGATATTCGCAAGCGTCGACCAATCAAGAGCTTTCTCCAACAGCGACGTAGTGGCGCATTTCACGACCAGGAAGACAACAGATCATCAACTATGGAGGACACATGGATCTATTATAGGATGATGCAGATCTCAGAAATGCTGCACACGTCGTTTATATTTTCAGTGATTGAAATGTACTAACACTTGTTGTTAGTGTCTGTTTGAGGTTTCTGCACTGTTGAGGGGTGTTATGTGTGTTATCATGTTGATGGATGTGTGTGGATTGGTAGGGTCTGGTCAGGTCGCAGAACTCCCCCAGCCCCCAGATAAGAGTGAAGGACGAGGCAGCTGTGTTTACTTGGTCCCACACAGGAAGGCGCCTCTGATGTAGGGGGGGGACTGTTTGCTAACCTAATATGGAAGAAGAATGTGGAGGACCAGACCAAGACCAGACCAAGACCAGACCAAAGTCCAGACCGGGACCAGGACTTCAGTCCGCCCCAGACCATATGACGTCATCGGACATTTTGATAAAACTGTTGGTAGGACATTTTGTTAGCAGTCTGAGCAGGGATAGATAGACAGAGAGCATCGCAGAGCGCCTGGATGTTCTCTGCACATTTTCAGGCCTGGAAGGATAGTTAGAATGGCTCAGCTCATAGGGTTAGTTTTAGGGAATTAATAGCTCCAAGAGTTTTGTATCAATATTTAATTGTAAAGAGAAATAAATGTTCTATTTTTAACTCTTGTATTCTTGGCCTTATTTCTGTATCAAATTCTGAACACGTCAGTCATATCTTTTTGACGACAAGGACAAGCTGATTGTCCATGCTCGTTCAGAGCTGTTTAACCCCGCGGACTATAACTACCATGACAGAAATGGGGGAGGGCTAGCGATGAGGTTGGTGTCTCGGGTAAGTCACTTTTCACAATATTAAATATTACATTCCGCAAAATCTGTAATGTCTGAGCAACTACTAGTACTTTTCCACTTACAAGTTGATGTGTTTATTCAGTGGAAGTATGCAAAAGGAGGTGGAAGAGTCTGAGGGGCACATATGCAAAGGAGAGCAGGAAGGTTCTGTTCACTGTATTCATGGACAGAATTTCTAGGCGCAGCCAGGGGCCGGAGGGGGTCCGGTTCGGGGACCACAGGATTTCATCTCTGCTGTTTGCGGACGATGTTGTCCTGTTGGCTCCAACGAGCCAGGACCTGCAGCATGCACTGGATCGGTTTGCAGCCGAGTGTGAAGCGGCTGGGATGAGAATCAGCACCTCCAAATCCGAGGCCATGGTGCTCGACCGGAAAAAGGTGCCTTGCCCTCTCCAGGTGGGTGGAGAGGTCCTTCCTCAAGTGGAGGAGTTCAAGTATCTCGGGGTCTTGTTCACGAGTGAGGGAAGGATGGAGCGTGAGATTGACAGGCGGATCGGTGCAGCGATGCGGTCGCTGTATCGGACCGTTGTGGTGAAGAGGGAGCTAAGCCAAAAGGCAAAGCTCTCAATTTACCGGTCAATCTTCGTTCCCTCCCTCACCTATGGTCATGAGCTTTGGGTAATGACCGAAAGAACGAGATCGCGGATACAAGCGGTCAAAATGAGCTTCCTCCGCAGAGTGGCTGGGCGCTCCCTTAGAGATAGGGTGAGGAGCTCAGTCACACGGGAGGAGCTCGGAGTAGAGCCGCTGCTACTCCACGTCGAGAGGAACCAGTTGAGGTGGCTCGGGCATTTGTTCCGGATGCCTCCTGGACGCCTCCCTGGGGAGGTGTTCCGGGCACGTCCCACCGGGAGGAGGCCCCGGGGAAGACCCAGGACACGCTGGAGGGACTATGTCTCTCAGCTGGCCTGGGAACGCCTTGGGGTCCCCCCGGACGAGCTGGAGGAAGTGTGTGTGGATAGGGAAGTCTGGGCGTCTCTGCTTAGACTGCTGCCCCCGCGACCCGGCAACGGATGAAGCGGAAGAAAACGGACGGACGGACGGAGCAGGAAGGAGTTGCTTCGCTCTCTTTCTACTTGTTTAGATGCGTGTCCAGACAAGCGTCCAACTAGGTGCTTTGGCTGCGTATTTGACGCCCAAGAAGCTTGCGGTCGGAACACAGCATTAATATTAATCTAAAACAGAATATACATGTGCAGGAACAAAAAGGTAATGCAAAACAATACATTTAAAGACTCCAGTTACTAGTAAGTAAGTATTTATATAGCACATTTTACAGACCAACAAAAAGCACTTTACAATGTTCAGAGTTCAGATAATTTTCTATTCTCTCCACACGGTGGTGACGGAAGCAAGACGCCAACACCATCCATTCACTCACTCATTACATTCATTCCTATTGTACTGGTTTTAGTGTTTAGGGGAAACCGGAACACCTGGAGGAACCTCCACACAGAAAGGCCTGGAGGTGGAATCCACCTTTTTGCTATGGAAACACAAGCTCTAACCACCAACTAGTGATTTAGAGGGATTTACCCGATGTAGGCTTGAGCTGCGAAGCAGACTGGATATGTTGCATTGTTGTCTGGTTCTTTTGGGTTCCAGGTGAGGTTGAAGCTCCCATCCTTCACTGGCGTACTCTGAAGTCCACCCGGTCCACTGTGCACCAGTCCCACAACACTACAAAATAATAGTTTAGAGGAAGAATAGTCTTTGCTTTGGTTTAAGCTGTTCAAAATTCTCAAAATCATAATTTGTTGATGAAATGAAGCCATCAAACTCCTGGAAACGTCTTTCCAATCAAATTAAACTCACAAAAACATTATGCAAAAATGCGCAATGATAATAATATAAATTTTTATATATTTAGGTGCCAGAGCAAGTAGGAGAAAAACTTTGTCCATGAGCTTGCGCACGTAATTGAGCTTGCGGGTTAGCGTTGTCCATCCATATACAGTCTGTTCAGATACCAGCTATACCCTCCCAAAGAACATGCTGAAGGACTTTGCAGTGTGATCTCTGTTTAGGGATTGTTGCCACCTATAATTAGACTAAACCCATAAGCCCCCATTTTAGTAAATAGTTAAGTCATTTGCTTGTACTCCAAAGGGTTCCAAAACCGATTCAGTTTGAGTTTTACGAATATTTTCAGGTGTTTTCTTTTTCTTTTCTTTTTTATCCTTTACAGTATTTAATTGTCTTTATTTGCATTATTTCAAGGTCTGACAACTCATGGCAGGTGTTTTCATCTATTTTTAGGTGTTTTCATAAGGTCAACATTCATTAACCCTGTGGTGGGCTGTCGGGACCTGCAAGGCCTTCTCTGTAGGCCTAAGAAATATCTGAATTTCTTATTACTTATTTGAATTATAATCATTATTTGTACATTTATTATTTTTTCCTTTAATAACTACTCCATAAATAAATAACTCCAAATGGTCTATTCACCTCCTTTCAGTGCTTTCCCTCTGGTTGTGCTGCTTCCAAACATGTATTGATTGACAACGAGGTTCGAAATAAAAACATTGATTGATTGATATATTCATATAACAGCATTCATCCAATCATAGGTCAGCCATAATTTATTGCTAGGGTCAGAAATTTGCCTGGAGGCCTTCAGAATCCGTTCTGTAGCATAAAATAAGTGTAGATCAGACTGTAGCTTTAACCAATCAGATTTTAACGTCAGCGTACGCCAAGCCCCGGCGATTCAAGATGGCGCCCTATTCAAATGAATGGTTGTGCTCAGTGGCGCTTTGTGACGGCATGGGGGCTGAAAGATTAGCGGAAGTTGCCTGAAACTCGCAAAGATCTATGGGAAACTTGCCTGTATTTGGGCATCGTCTGGTCCTCCCGGTTCTGCGCAGTGGATGATTTCCCATAATGCGTTGCGCCAAACACGCGTGTGTGGGTCTCACACCAGGTCTCACGCACGTGCACAGAGGGGCTCGGCTGCGCTCTGACCAATCAGAGCAGTTCATCAGAGCGGGAGTTAGAGCGAGAGCCAGACGAGCAGAGTTTGTGGCACTAAAGTGTGGATTTAAACAAAACCGAAGGATTTAAGAAGAAAAAAAGTTCAGGATGACAAGGGACACTAAAATCCCCACAAAATCCGACCTTTATGAAAGCTGTAGGTTCTCTGTCAGCTGAGGTCGAGCTGTTTTAATATGCATTGAGTCCTATGGGGAAAATTTCTGGGTAGCCCACGTGAATTTAGTCTGGTTCAGTCTGCAGTACCGCGAGAATCCCCTGAGCACATGAGTTATTCAGCTACAAGCTAGTAATACCCTATCCAGTTAATATAATACATCCATGGCGTACGCTCACTCTTTGATTGGATAGTCAGAGAGCGCGCTAGCTAGAACACGCAAACTGTCTTGTTGATTTACAACCCACAATGGCTGAACGAGAAGAAATTGACTTGGTTGTAGGATTTATCGAAGGCACTTTCAAGAAGGACTTTTCAAAAAAACTCTGGACATTGTTAAGAAAGTTTGGGTAACTCTGAAGCTAAACAGGTAATCCCAGACTTACACTTATTAGTGCTATGATCCTTTTGGAGATGAGCTATCTCTATTTTTCTAAATAATGTTGCCCTTTTATGAGGTTGTTAGTGATGCTTTTCATGTGTGTTGCAGCTGCAGTATAAGGAGACTTGTTCTCTCTTCTTGGTAACTCTTCATATTGTGTCTTACGTGGCTTCTGATGCTGTCGCCTTAACGCTGAACAATTGAACACTTGAAGAGATATCGATCTTGATCACTGCCCCGTGTTTGGGAGTTGGTTCGACAAACCGCGGCAAGATAACTCCTTCAGCGCAGGACTTTATAGACGGCAACACTGAAAGAAACAACATTCTTTTTCAACCATCATTAGTAATAACTGTTCACTCGTCACAAAAAAGCAAGGGGCATTCAGCTTTCGAGTGATCTTTTTTCAACATATTTAAAAATGAATGCTATTAAATAAAAAAAAACTAATTTTGGTTGGGGCCCAACTTGAAAAGTAAAAGCTTGGGGCCAAAACCCTGTGAGTGTTTTCTAACAGACAGAATAGGAGCATTGAGGATGCAATCTCCTTTGCTCTGAACTCTCTGTACAGTCACTTGGACGATGGTAAATCTGTTGCAAGATCTGTCACAATTTCCCATTCATTTAAATCGGGTGAGACTGTTTGAAATAGAAGAGGTTCGAAATGTGAAACGGGCCGTCTGGGGCTCCTGGACCGCTCTTTGCCTAGGTCTGCTGATGACTTGTTGGGGTGTCTTACCCTCGAAAGCGAATTGGAAAGGCACTACGCTGATGTAGTCACTGGAGTTCTTCTCTTCTTTTACACCAAGGCTCTCAAATGAAATGTTTTTTTTAACATGATCCTCCATCATCAGCTCCACTGCATAGAACCCCCCTACTGCGCTGTTTGCTGCATCAAATGACATCGTGCAGTTCTGAAAACACACAAACGGTTGTAACTGAAACAATAAATTATACGTTTTCTTTATGAGACTGAGGCCCTTTTAGATGGAGGGCTGCGGAGACGCTGCAAAGCAATTAGCTAAATTGTCCAGGCTCCTTACTCGAAGTGCACAGCGTCTACACCACGACGGAAAACAAAGTAGTTCTAACGCCCGGCCAGTAGTGGGCAGTGGAACGTTACAACATGACACATGCAGCCCCCAGCAATAGAACCTCTTCCTCAACAACATCCTCCTCGGCCTACTGCAAAGACGAGAAAGAATGCACCAACACCATTCTGCATTCGGAAAATGGAAACTGAAACTACAGCTTTGCGTGGTTTTGTTTGGACGAACAAATGTGTAGAATTCTCTAAATGGTTTTCAGAGTAGAGTTGTTTGTCTACTGGGCGCAGTGTGAATTGTAGCCCAAAGTTCGAACCATGTACTGAGACATGATACTTAAACTTTTCCACTATTTCACATATTTTATTGCTATTTCATGTGTGATATCAACACAAATATCCTGATGGAAGGTGTTTTCCCATCAACTGCGACTCTGCCCTGTCCCTCCTGAAGAGAAGAAGCCCCACAGCATGATGTTACATGAGCACTGTTATTTTCCCGCTACATATTTTGCATTTAGACAAAAAGTTATTCTATAATTTTCTGACCTGAGCAGCTTCTAAGAAAAGATTAGATAAGACTTAGACTCACAATGGAAAAATGGCATAAATAGGGTGTGCAAAAAGACAGGGAATGTTGGATGTGTCTTTCTCTGCTTATTGAGTGTCTTTCTTTCAGCACGTGGCTTTCTATTGGTCACTCTTCCAAAATATAAAAGTACAGATTTGTAAGCAGGAAATAAAACTTGAAAACATGTACATCATGGGAACATGCATGTGCCGTTGATGCTTTTTTTTAGGCTTAGCATCATGTGATTATTTCACATTTGCTCAGATTTCTAGCAGATAGAAAAGGGATGGTCTTTAGAATCTGTGTTACCTCTTCATTATCTCTTGAATGGGATCATGTGCATGAATAAACAGCTCTAAAGACACCGGATTTTATATTTGGTTAATCATTTGTTCTTGCATTCACAAACCCTGAAAAATCATATTGAACCTATTTTTAATGGTGGAGGAAACCAGCAAAACCCAGAGAAAACCTAAGCAGACACTAGGAACACAGTGTCTGCTTAGCCCCAGCTGGTCATGAAATCGAACCTAGGACCTTTTGCAGTGAAGTATCCACAATGGCACTGACCACTGTGCCATTGCGGATTTATTTAAGTGGCAATGCTGTCTACAACACACACATTTTTCAACTTTTGTTAAGTTTCTTACTGAAGAGAATGTGAAGCCTTGAGGGGGTTGACAGGCACCGCACTCTAGAGGAGCCACGCCGTATCTGCACACAACCGTGTCTCCATCTGGATCAAACGTCAAAGGCCGAATCTCCATGGGACAGTTTGAAGGAACTCTGAAAAAGGTATGCAAGTTTTATTTATATACCACCTTTCGTAGACCAGAGTCACAAAGCGGTTTACAATTGTTATTTTTGGGCACTTGTCCTCTCACTCCACACAGAGATGGGAGTGGGGTCGCCAAAGGACCCGCATGCCAGACCTATTGTACATATTTTTAATGGTAGGGGAAACCGGAGTACCCAGAGGAAACCTACGCAGACACGGGGAGAACATGCAAACTCCACTCAGAAAGGCCCTGGTCCGACCAGGATTCGAACCCAGGACCTTCTTGCTGAGAGGCAAGAGTGCTATCCACTCAGCCACCATGCCAGGTAAGATGATTACTCTATTAAGATGAGATAAGATAGACTTTATCGATCTCACACAGGAGAAATGTACATGTCACATTGTGCAAAAGAAAGAAATGTGCAAACATATTACATATATATATATATATATATATATATTTATATACAATTAAAAAGTGGCAATCAAAGAAACAGTGGCAATAGTTGTGTGTGTTATTTTTTGTCCTACTGCAAGTGACTTATTGTACAGTCTGACAGCGGTGGGGATAAAGGCCCTGCGGTAGTGCTCCTTCTTGCACTGAGGGTGTCTCAGTCTTCCACTGAAGGAGCTCCTCAGCTCCTCTACAGTCCTGTGCAGTGGGAGGTGTTGTCCATGATGGAGAGGGCTTTGACTAGCACCCTCCGGTCCCTCACCTCCTCCAGGTGAGGATCCTCCTATTGGATACTTAACATTGTGTGCAGATACATCCATTGGTGAAATCCATGGAACATATCAAATTCCTAATTACTGTTTAATACATCAATACTGTATTGCAATTTATTATAAACCTGGACTTCTCAACACTTTGTGGCCATACTGAGTAGCACAGGGACTGGCCTCCTGCTGCCCGGGGTCAGGACTAAACATGGAGAGGAAGCGTTCCAGAATTATGCAGCTAAAATCTGGTGACAGGAATCTACTGTGAAGAGGATTGTGTTGCCGTGTGTAAGGTTGTGTTACAAATAAGTTTGATTGATTGATACGGTTTGTAAAAGCCATTTTGTCAGATCTCAGGAGGTGAGCAGTGCAGAGAACGATTAGTGCTTAAATCTAATACTGATCTGATACAGATGAATCATTCTGACCTATATATTGGTCAATACAATCATTATCAGTTTATTCAATGAGATTTAGCCCACAAACAACAGATTAATACATCTCTGACCAATTGGTTAATGACCATTATTTATCAATTCTATCCCAAACCGGTTTCTACGACCAATGTGTGTTTAGAGTGCACTGGGAACACCAGGCGCCAGAGGAGTGAGGAAAGTCCCATCACTCCTGTTTTCTACTATAAATCTGATGGATCTGTGATAGAGAGAGGCTGATGGGGGCTGCAGATCCATCCACAACTTTATAAACAATCATTGGAAAAGTGGGTCAAATCTAGTCAAAGTCTCACCGCACGGGCGACATGATGGTGGCCTGAGGGGGGAAGTTGGCTCTTCCCGTGTCAGAGCGTCTTCTCAGATCCATCTGAGTGAAGGCTTTAATGGTCTGGTTGTTCACCCAGCGGACTGCAACGTCTGTGACCCTGTAGGTACAGGCAGAAGACAGTTCTACAGAGGTTTTGACGTGAGTATGTGTTAATGAGCAATTGTTTATCTTTTGCATCAAATTTTGAAGTAGAGTTGGGCTTCATCAGATCTCACGAGTTCATCAGGAAAATCAGGTTTTTACACTAGAAGTTTAACACATTTACACATCCATCGCAGAACATTCTGTTCTGGAATCTTTACTGGAAATGCTTCGCTACATTTGTAACATTTCCAGAGTCGAGTTAGTTATGAAGAGCACTTCAAACAAGGTTGACTATACTGTATATGAATAGAATATAAATAAAGAATAAAGATATTAAACTCAGTCAGTAAATGTCGCATGATAGGCTTTCACTGCAAAAAGTAATGAAAAATAAAACAAAGATGTCTCAAATTTGTCAAAATGTGAATGGGAAACCAGAAATCTGATTAAATGGCTTTATCCCATTAGCAAATCTTGCTTTAAGACAGTCAGAATGTACTTACATTTGTATCATTTACAATTTTTTGCAGTGTAAGAACTGAAAAATGTATTTATTTAACTCGTGTTCTCTGAGCATTGTTTTCATTGTGTATTTTTTCTTCCTGGGATTTTGGGCTCTATACAAGCACTGATTTGATTTGCTGTTCATACTAAGAAAGTGATTATCATTGATGGAACTCTACAAGCCCAGAACTTACCACATACTGTATGAAGCAGAAGAGGCCGAAGGGTTTCGACGAACTCATCTTGACACAGGGGGTCATACGCCGCGTAAATATTTATCAAGCTTGCGTTCTCGTAAGGTAAAAATGTCTCTCTTTCCCAGCTTGTGCTCCATTGGAAACCAGGAGTTATGCACGAGTCATCTGTGATCGTATAACGTAAGTCAACCTATACAAGCACACACATGATAATTAATCAACACAACATACTCCATTGGCCCAGAAAATCTTTATAAAACTTAACACTTTCATACATGGTGGTCACTACAGTGGACAGCTACTCAATAATTGTTTTCTTCCATGTGTGAGTTTTAAAGTCACAGTTGCACTTTAGTCACTATAGTGGACCCTGGTATGTCCTGTCATATGCACTGCTACAGACTGGTAAACATACAAAGGTAGAAAAAAAACTCTCAAAGAAAGATGGCCGACAAAATAGAAAATATGCTTAGTGGAGGAGGAAAATCTGTTCATACATTATATTCTAGAAAGGTTTAGCAGGTAAAAAGAGTATGTGCACGTCAAGTAACATCTAAGGAGCCGTATAATTGTCAAAAAACCCAAGTATTGATTTTCTGTTTTGAGGAAATTGCAATGAATCATGTGTCCACCAAAGTGGACGTTGTGCATCACTGGCTACATTTTGAATACAGTGCATAGTGTTGCTGCTACTTTGTTGTTTCTGGAAATACTTCATTTTGAATAGTTTTGGCTGCAAATAAATTACATTATTTGATATATATTACATCTTGTGAATATTAGTCATATCATGAGAATAATGACCCTTTTCCATGTGTTTTGTAGCGGTTGGGGCAGAGCGGAATAGAAAAGCCTAGAGGACAGTCCAGGAACTACCATCTGACTCAAGTGAGGGTGATGTTAGTGGGAATAATGAAGAATTTCATCAGACAAAAGACAATTAGTAAATGGTAACAGCTGTGACAGTGAAGTTGAAGATGTAGAAGAAGAAGATGCTGTGAAAATTGAGGTTATATTTAGAGGATGAGGGAGATGGTGCTGTTGAGCTTGACCAAGCTCAAAAACTCAAAAATATAGATATAGCAGACACATCTTCAAAGCCAAAGATAATAAGTTTGAGGGACAATCTACTCTTTACTTTTAGGAGAGTAGTAGGTCAAGATTGAGGGAGGAGCCCCAATACATTTTTCAATCATCAAAATTGCGAATGAGCTGATTGATGATATAATGGACAACTCAGACCTCTGTGGAATGGAAAATAACTACTGGGCATTACACTGAGTGAACTGAAGAACTTTCTAGGGATTCATTTGTTAATGTCATTCTCAAATACCTCAGATGCACACGCCTATGAAGATGTGAAAGTCTTGTCTTAGTTCTATGCTGATTAGTACCAGCCAAGTTCATTATAGTATTTCAGTCATTTAGTCAGTGCAACAAATGTGTTTTTCTTTGGTTTATGTTTCGGACAACACATTTTACAGTTTTTGAATGTGTTAAAACAAGAAAAATACAATGCTAAAGATAAAATCAAAATATCCTATGGTTTTGTATTCTTATTCCGTGACTCAAATGCACGTTGTCCACCCTTGTGGACGTGACGTGTCACCAAGAAGCGATTGGTATGGGCCACTATGGTGCGTTATACATGGTTTTAAATCTCATAGTTTCATATTTTTTATTTCTCTCAACAAAACAACCATGTAATGTTTTATTAAACTTTGAACCCAAAGCACAATGATAATAATAGTCAAAGTAATAATAAATATAATCAGTGTATTAATTGTAAAAGACAAATTATTATTACCAATTATAATAAGAATAATAAAAATACAATAACAATACAGTTTTTTTCAGTTGCTTTGGTGCATTTCTCACATCACTCTTCACATTTGCACAAGAGTTTGTCCATTTCTCAGAACAATTAGTGCAAAATGCAAAACCTGGTAGAAAACCTGGAAAAGTGCATCACCTTCTCAAAATGAAAAGTTAATTCCTCAAAAGCAAGTTCTCATGTCAATGAAACTGACTGTGTCGTCAAGATAAGTCCTAACATCACACTGTAAACCCTGACAAGTAAACTTTACTTGAAAAAACCTTGGAAATAAATTGCATATTAACTTCATTTGAATTCCTTGAGTACATCCTTTACTTGATATTACCAAGTAAACTCAGGTGAATAAAGATTACATTTCATCTTATGGTCCGACCAGGATTCGTACTTGCAACCTTGTAGACAGGAGGTGAAGGTGCTACCACTCAGCCACCAGGCCACCCTGGTATACACCTGTCTTATTAAAGACTCTACACGTCAAAATGTCAAAAGTGAGGCTTACTTGAACAGAAACAGTTCAATTCAAAGAAAACCCTGAGTGATGTAGCCAAGCTTTAAATAAACTAACAATAAATGAGTAATATTTACTTACTGGGAAAAATCTTTTTAAAATAACTTTGATATCTGAAGTTAGAGTATACAGTGCAGCGTTTATGAATAAAAGTCAATTAACTTAGTCATGTTTTCATTGTGACACTTTACTCTCTCTGTGTTTTCATTGGAAAACAGTCAGATTTTGGTGAAACTACCTGAAAACAGATTTTGAACTAGTTCAACACTTTTGTATGTAATGACTATAGCGATGAAATGAGGACTATCGGTTTTATAGGGAATGACTTTTCAGTTTCAAAAGTATGTTTCATTTTGACTGACAGGACAGAAGCAAAGGATAATGTTAGTAAACAGCAGAGTATTGTATGAAAATAACTGATACATGAACAAAATAATTTTTAATTTGTTCAAAGGAGAAACTGCTGCAATTATGTCACACATGACTCAAAGTTGTGGAGGTTGAACTAATAGTTGTGAGAACTTTCATTCTGATCTGAGAAAATCACCAAAGCGACTGAAAAAACTGTAAATATAATAATCATGTGAATAACTACAAACTATCACGATGTATTATTACTAATACTACTACAAACGTTCTCTAAATGAAATGACTGAGCCCCGTGTGTGGCCCTGGACCAGAATGAGCTGCACCCTTTTGGAAACCACTGCACTTCCCGAACTAATGAACACAAATGGTCTTCTCCAACATTACATGAGTTTCATACCAGTGTTTCTGTGTCATTGGTCATAAAGTTGTGCCTCATCCTTTTGTGGTTGTGTGCGGTGGTTACGTAAAATGGTAGAGGAAGCAACACAAACAAGTTATTTCTGACGGTGCAGATATGAGGTCTGTCTGGTTTTGGTAATCGCTTGAGAAAATTCACACATGAAAAGAACATAATATTACAAATGGGATGAGGGTGATTGCTGTGGTACAGAAGTGATAGTGATAGATACAGACAGACAGATAGACAGACAGACAGACAGGCAAGCAGACAGATAGACAGACAGGCAAGCAGACGGATAGACAGACAGACAGCCAAGCAGACAGATAGACAGACAGACAGGCAAGCAGACAGACAGACAGACAGACAGGCAGGCAGGCAAGCAGACAGATAGACAGACAGACAGACAGACAGACAGGCAAGCAGACAGACAGGCAGGCAGATAGATAGACAGACGGACAGGCAAGCAGGCAGGCAGGCAGACAAATAGATAGATAGATAGATAGAGACAGACAGATAGACAGACAGGCAAGCAGGCAGGCAGATAGATCGATAGATTGATGGATAGAGATAGACAGACAGACAGGCAGGCATTCAGATAGATAGATAGAGACAGGTAGGCAGGCAGATAGATAGACAAATAGATATATAGATAGAGACAGACAGAGAGACAGATAGATAGAGACAGACAGACAGACAGACAGGCAGACAGATAGATAGATAGAGACAGACAGACAGATAGATATATAGCGACAGACAGACAGATAGATAGATAGATAGAGACAGACAGACAGGCAGGCAGACAGACAGACAGACAGACAGACAGACAGACAGACAGACAGACAGATAGATAGATAGATAGATAGATAGAGACAGACAGACAGACAGACAGACAGACAGACAGACAGACAGACAGACAGACAGACAGACAGACAGACAGACAGACAGACAGACAGACAGACAGATAGATAGATAGAGACAGACAGACAGACAGACAGACAGACAGACAGACAGACAGACAGACAGACAGACAGACAGACAGACAGATAGATAGATAGATAGATAGATAGATAGAGACAGACAGACAGACAGACAGACAGACAGACAGACAGACAGACAGACAGACAGACAGACAGACAGACAGACAGACAGACAGACAGACAGACAGACAGACAGACAGACAGACAGACAGACAGACAGACAGACAGACAGACAGACAGACAGACAGACAGACAGACAGACAGACAGACAGACAGACAGACAGACAGACAGACAGACAGACAGACACAGACAGACAGACAGACAGACAGACAGACAGACAGACAGACAGACAGACAGACAGACAGACAGACAGACAGACAGACAGACAGACAGACAGACAGACAGACAGACAGACAGACAGACAGACAGACAGACAGACAGACAGACAGACAGACAGACAGACAGACAGACAGACAGACAGACAGACAGACAGACAGACAGACAGACAGACAGACAGACAGACAGACAGACAGACAGACAGACAGACAGACAGACAGACAGACAGACAGACAGACAGACAGACAGACAGACAGACAGACAGACAGACAGACAGACAGACAGACAGACAGACAGACAAGCAGGCAGATAGATAGAGAGACAGCTAGAAATATATATAGATTAGTCAATATATATAAGTGGCCTCTAAACACAGGGATTTTTCACTCCATCCCCACAAATATTAAATTCTCAGTGTCAGTGTGTATTACTCAATCTGTTACCAATGGTTCATGTTACAAGCACCACTAGAAATATGAAAAAAGTCATTCAAAGTGTTCAATGCCATTTTAACAGTAAGCCACTCTGGGAATAGGTTGCGTTCATGTCATTAGTTCCTGGGTCAATCCACATGAAACAAAAACTGTCACAAAGTCCCACATCTTCTTTGTCAGCATCAATCAATCAATCACATTTATTTATGAAGCACAATGCAATGCAATGCAAATGCTTTTTAAGACAACGCTGAAATGCTGCACAAGCAGGAGACCAGTCCCTGTGCTCCTCAGAGTCCAGGCTGGGGTCTCCAATCTATAAATCGGGAGCTACCAGTAGATTAAGAAAGTTATACGCAAACGTACTATGTGCAGTATTCACAAATATTTGATGCTAAATGACTATTGATATTGACAGTACCATTCTCAAGCTCGCTCTCACAAATATATCAATTACTTTTTTTTCTTAGAACGGCTTGAAGAAGTAGCTCTCTGCCATTTTTGCCTTGAGAATGTAGCTCTCTGGGGGAAAAGGTTGGAGACCCCTGCTTTAAAGTGTATTCTCATGAAGCCAGTGCAGAGTTAATATTGACTATTGTCTAATTGTTTTCCCATAAAGGTTTGGAGAAGTGGTGACAATATTCCAAAAAAACATATGGAGGATATTCACCAGTAGTAAGGACTTTCAGACATAAGATAAAAAGAGAAATATTTATTTATTGACTTTTGGCATAAATAGATAAAAAGTCTGCAAAAAGACAGGAAATGTGCAATAAGTGAAAAAACATATATATTGTGCAAAAAAGGGATTTTACACACCTACAATTAAAATTAAAATAAAAACTAATAGTACCAACATGGAAAGTATGTAAATCACTGTAAACACTGCAAAAAGTGGCTCCAAAAAAGCAAAAGTACAAAATCTAAAAAATATCAATAACAAGTAATATAATATTATCTTAAGTATCTTCAGCCTGCATGAGCAAAACAGTCCAAAAAAAAATACTACGGTGTGATTAGAAGTGCTACTACATTGCTACCACAGTGCGACAACTACACTTGTCCAAATCTTCACTTTTTGCAGTGAAATTATGATCTGGGAAAACTTAAGATTGCATTGTATCGACCGAGCAAGAATTTTGCGACATGAACGCAAGCTATTTCCTTTTTTTAAAACGTACAAAGTGCATCTATCTGTGGACACGTGTACAGATTAGCAGGACGAGCACCACTGCCTGAATAAAAAAAAAAAAAAACGTTTTCCAAGATTCCCCCCCCCCCATTGATTCGTTCCTTTTGCCCCGGCAGAATTGCTCCATCCTCTCTCCCCTTCCCCATCTGCCTCACTGAGTAATACATGATTTTGGCCTCAGCACTCACCCGGGGGCTTTTTACTTGTACTCGCGTGTAAGGAAAACTGGCGTGAGTCATCTCGCCGGATCCAGAGGTTGCATAACGGGAGAGTGTGTGAGGTTGTCAAGGGAGTCGGCTCCATTTTTTGAGTATCAATATTCATGACATTCCTTATGGAGATTAGATTAGGGGCTGCACGATTCGTCGCGATTAGCAAATAGCTGATTATTCAGGTTGTTTGCCCAAAAAAATTGCTAAAAAAATAACAAAATAACAGGCTGGGGACAGGTTCATGTGACATCCCGGCGTTTACAGGTAGTTTGAGGTTGTGGTTTGAGGACAGCTGGAAAATCTTTCTTGGTAACTATGGTGACTAGTCTTAGTTTAGAGCTAATTTCGGGACCAATCCAAGTGAAATAAAGACTGTTGCAAAGTTCCACATGGTCTTCGTCAGCACAGTTCAACTACAGGGTCTGGATATTTTATCATAAAGGTGTCTTTAAAGGTGTCTCTCTCCTTTTTTCTTTCTCTAGTCTCTTTCTCATCTCTCCCTGGTCTCTCACAAGTCTCTTTCTCTGGCCTCTGGTGTCTCCCTGCTTTATCTCTCTGGTCTCTCTCTCTGAGGCCTCTCTCTGTTCTCCCTCTGGTCTCTCTCTGTTCTCTCTCTGGTCTCTCTCTGGTCCATCTTTGGTCTCTCTCAAGTCTCTTTCTCAGGTCTCTCTCTCTGGTCTTTTTCTGGTCTCTCTCTGGTCTCTCTCTGGTCTCTCTCTGTTCTCTCTCTGGTCCCTCTCTGGTCTCTCTCTGGTCTCTCTCTGTTCTCTCTCTGGTCCCTCTCTGGTCTCTCTCTATGGTCTCTCTCTGGTCTCTCTCTGGTCTCTCTATGGTGACTCTCTGGTCTCTCTCTGGTCTCTCTCTGGTCTCTCTCTGGTCTCTCTCTGGTCTCTCTCTGTTCTCTCTCTGGTCCCTCTCTGGTCTCTCTCTATGGTCTCTCTCTGGTCTCTCTCTGGTCTCTCTATGGTGACTCTCTGGTCTCTCTCTGGTCTCTCTCTGGTCTCTCTCTGGTCTCTCTATGGTGACTCTCTGGTCTCTCTCTGGTCTCTTTCTGGTCTCTCTCTGGTCTCTCCCTGTTCTCTCTCAAGTCTCTTTCTCAGTTCTCTCTCTGCATGGTCCCTCTCTGGTCTCTCTCTGGTCTCTCTCTGTTCTCTCTCTGGTCCCTCTCTGGTCCCTCTCTGGTCTCTCTATGGTGACTCTCTGGTCTCTCTCTGGTCTCTTTCTGGTCTCTCTCTGGTCTCTCTATGGTGACTCTCTGGTCTCTCTCTGGTCTCTTTCTGGTCTCTCTCTGGTCTCTCCCTCGTCTCTCTCTCTGGTCTCTCTCTGCTCTCCCTCTGGTCTCTCTCTGGTTTATCAACAATATTTATAACTTTATGTATAATTTCAGCTCAAAATGGAGCAGGAAGAAGAAAAAATAACAATATCACTGAAAATATATTCCCCTAATAATGTCAAAAAGCAAAAGATCTAGTTCTAGAAATGTCTCCCATGGATTGAGAAAATACAGCAACAGTTCTTGAAAAAAGACTAAATGGTTTTGTGCTGTGGAATGTGCTCATATAAAGATGAAAACCACTCGATTCCAGAAATTATTAGCTCATAGTTGACTTTTTTGCAGTGAACACACAATGCCATGTTAAATTGGATCTGAAGTTATAGCTCCAGCTGAAAAACAAAAGTCAAAACAAAAGTCTCAGTATGTTTCCACCTGTGGGCGTGGAATGAGCGAGATATTTCTGGAAAGCCTTTGTGCCGCCGCCGCCGCCGGTCAGTCCCACTTCATTACGACACAAAGCAAATTCCCTTTGCTTTTGTTTGTGAATGTCAAGAGGGACCACGGCTTATGTGCGCACCAGGACATACAGGGCTGGCTCCTGAGGTCCAACCATTCAGACAGTGTTCATCCATTCATGTATATTTAGATTTTGAGATCCGTCCAAATTGTACGACCGTTTATTGAACAGAAGTCTAAAATACGTCACAATTTTGCCAAAATATCAAATTCTAATTTTTCTGATGATTGCGATTGCGATGCTATGTTTTTAAAAGTAAGAATGCATATGTAATACAATTGTATCATAGAAAAAAACAAAAAACAAAAGGCTGCATGCACCGATTTGCTAATTCAATATTTACATATATTAAACTTTTTTCTGTGATAAAAATACGTCGTTAAACAAGATAATAGTTTTCATACATTCATACAAGAGTTCATATATTCTTGGATTCTTTCTTTTTCCCCTAAATTCATATTATTTTTATTGCCTTTATGGGACACTATGTAATACTTTTTTTTTTTTATTACATATGCATCTTTTATACATCCCCAAATAACAGAAATAACATTTTTTTAGGAATAACGTTTTATATTCATGATTTTCTAGCAGGTTTTAGAGAGTGGAATGAGAAGGCTTTCATTTGGTTTCTCAGTTTGTTAGGTGAAACTTAAGCTGGTTTTGGCTCTATCTTTTTTATATATAACAAAATCCACGCATGAACCACGCATGTTCACAATAAATCAAGGCAAGGCAAGTTTATTTATATAGCACAATTCATACACAAGGCAATTCAAAGTGCTGAACAAAATAAGAAAGCATTAAAATCATAAATAATCACAGAACATTAAAAAGAAAGATACAAATATAAAATCCCTCAGTTGTATGCACAGCTAAACAGAACTGTTTTTAACCTGGTTTTAAACATTGTCAGAGAGGAGGCCTGTCTCACATCTTCAGGAAGACTGTTCCAGATTTTAGCAGCATGAATCTGAAAAGCAGCCTCCCCATGTTTAGTTCTGACTCTGGGCACTAACAGGAGTCCAGTCCCTGTGCTCCTCAGAGTCCGGGCTGGTTCGTATGGGACTAACATGTCACTAAACCAGGTACAAACCAGAAGTATTCATATATGATACACAAAGCTTGTTCTGTTACTAGCTAAACTCCAGAAAGTGGATTGCATCAGTGATCAGTGTGACCAAAATTTAGAGTGTATTGTAATTACTTTTCTATAGACTACTGATATCCTGGCAAATAAGCAATTCCTCACTCAAATTCATTCATTCATTCAATTTCATTCACTCGCAATGACTCATACAGTATGTCAGGTGGATATATCAATTTTTTCTTCATTAAATCCTCAATGCCATTAATAATGCACAAAACTGGACTGAAACATAAACTGTTGACACAATATTTGTCTCAAGTTAGAATAATTGTACATATATTTACTGTATGCGATAAAAAATGTCCAAATAGTTTAGACTTTTATGTATTTTATCTTCTGTGAGCGGTGTCGGGGAAAACTTGTGCGGCTGCTCCCACTCCCAAACACACGTTATACTTGTGTGCATGAGTAGAATTGTGTACATGATTTTTATACATGTACACAAGGCTAAACATGTGGTTATATTTATTAATTTATCTATTTATTCTGTAGCTATCAATTTTACTTCTTATCATGTGAGAAGTTCATTGGCAAAAACAGTTAAGTGCCATTAGACTTTCTTTTGCTTTTAAATCCTACAATTTGCTCTTTTGTAAAAGCCTAATATATTTTAGCGCCATAGAAATAATCTTTCACCTCTTCTTGAGAAAATTCTTCTAAATGCACTGGCAATAACGAAACTTGTTGAAGATTGTAGGCAGAGGAATACACGTTTTTGACTCATTTTCAGAACAGGACAGTGTTAAGAGCACACAGGGAGCACACAAAATACACAATATTAGCTAGCTGTAGCTTCAATATCAATATATCAATATCTCTGTCTATCTATCTATATATTAAGTCTAAAGTTATATACATATAGGGCAGGATGATAATAAAGTTACATTCAATGGGCCTTCTGAAATTGCAGTAGATCGATAGATTAAATGAATTACCTGCTTCTGTTGTGGGGTATTTTTTCTCTTCTGCTGCCATTTTGTTTTGTCCACAAAGCCCTTAAAATACTGCAGTTTTTCCGATTTTCTAATTGCGAGCCCTAAAATTGCAATTCAGCTGTGATTGCGACTAATCGTTCAGCCCAAACTCCAACCATTTCCACATCATTTCAGCAAAAAAAAAAAAACGTCGTTGCTATCCTCACCATTTCAAGTTTAACCAGAGTGGGCTTGGATCAGCACCATTGGTATTTTCATTCTCTCTTTCTTTGACTTTGCGTGGTGACATCTGCCCACACGTTCCTTCGGAGGCTCAGGACATTGCAGGATCATCAGTATATGATCTGCTGACACGTTCTTGTCTCCGCAGCAGTTTTCTCTAAAGTATAACTGCAGCCGTGACTTAATCAGGGGTCGAAGGTGACGGCGGTGGTGACCATGGCAACAGAAATGTCTTAACCTTCCTGGACATTTGTTTTTTGTTTTTCTGTCTTGTTTATTTGACGCAGGGAAATTCCGAGAGAAGGCTTCGATTCTTCACAAGATCGCTAAAAAGAAATGCCAAGTGGAGGATATTGAGAAGGCCAACGGCGTCGCGAGTCGTGCAGGTAATGGAAAAACCCCTTCATTAAAGCTGCGGTACCTGACTTTTTTGAACATAGTAAATTCATGTTGTTTGTTGTGGCAGTAAATGTTTTGTAAAAAAGTAAAATGTTTTGAACTAATCAGAACATAAAAAGCTGTCTTCATCTCCTATTTGGCAAATAAGGAAAGGCAGTGGGGAAATTTCAGTGTTGCATTACAAGTTACAGAACAGCAAGAATGAGAATGGTATAAAATCTCTAGCTTTATCATAATAATCTCAAATTTACGCATAATAAAGAAGCTAGAATAATCTACGGTATATTCTAGTGAATTCTTGTATTTGACGCTTTGGGCTGAGAGCTGATTGGCTGAGCAAAAGTCCACTCTTTTAACCAAAATGATAAAGGAGATTTATAAACTTTTATAGACAGTGGTCATCCCTTTCTCTATGGACCAATGGCTCCTATGTGTTTGTTATTATTGCATATCTGTGTTCGAACAGTTTGATTCTCTGATCTGTTGTGGGCGAGTCGAAAACTTTGTGAAGTCCTCCGAGATGTCTGTTGTTGCGATTTAGGGCTATACATAAATACATTTTTCCGGTCTCCTTGTGAAAACTTGTAATAGAACTAACACGATCTAGAGCAAGAATGTATTTTATGACATAGTTTCAATGTTTGAGGTTTTAAGTTCAGGTACCCCAGCTTTAAATGAGCTGAATGGACTGCAAAATGTATATGAATTTTCTTGTTTTATTTGTTTGTGGTGATTTTCAGATGACTGCGTAATTTAAAACGCTGATGTAAAGATGCGACAGTGGCCAAAATACATGCATGTGAATACTAGTGATGGAACCAAACATGTTTCTATGGCGACCATGGCATGTTATACCTCATTTTAAAGAAATTTATTCTAAAATGTGAACCCTCTACTGACATATATGACAAAATAATCCTTTGGCCTATCGATTTTTACGATAACAAGCCTTCTTCACTTTTCTTCGAGTTTTGGGCTCTAAAAAAATCTATGAAGCCAAAACAACCAAAAATGTCTAAATACCTTCATAATAACAAAACAATGTTTACACTTTTGGCCCCCACTCTCAGCTTTTACCTTTAACATTCAGGTTCCCAATTTGACACCCCTGGATTGTATTATGTGTCTATTGGATGTGGGTTCAAGGTTAGGTACCCCAGCTTTAACATACTGTATAAAAGTTACGCAAAAGTTACGCAAAAGTTACGCAAAAGTTACACGTGGCTTTACTCAATATTGACAGTCTATGATCCCATTGACTCTTCGTACAGACTGACTGAGGCTGCTCTCTCCGCGGCAGTAAACTCCTCCATAGGAATAATGAGCGGCTGTCACATGTGATGTTAAACAAGCGTGAAATTATCGAGAATAGTCAAATTGATTGCAAGTGTTTTCTTCAAGCAGTATGGAAATCAATGTCCGCCTGTACCCAGAGTAATTTATGCATTTCTCACATCAAAGGCGATTGAACCGACGGATTAGCACCGAGCCGGGGGGAGCACTTTTAAGGCCGCTGCGCAGTCGGACAATCAAAGACACGTATCTCCAAATTATGCTAACGGCAAAGCATTTAACGCCTTAGCATCTTAGCATCTCAATCAGACTGGTAATGTTATTGTCATTTTTATTAAGTATATGTTAGCTGCCGGTTATATGATGTGTGATTTTTTTCATTCTGAATTTACTAGAACTCCCACAGCAGTCCTTTTGATGGCTCCCGTTAAAGACCTTATGACGGGTTTGATTTATTTAGAAATACAGTTTTAATACCATTTTATATTAGAAGAGAACTACTAAAGGTTTCAAAATCAGTTGTTGTTTTTTTTGTCTGATCCCCCAAAATCGGAATAACCCCATAGCAACGCCCTTAGAAACAAAAAAACTTCACAGCCCTTGGTGACGTCAGAGTGGGTACGTTTCAACGCTGTAAGTTGTTTACAATTTGGTATTCGTTCTTTTTTCGCGGATATTCAATTTCGCGGTTGGCACTGAGATAGTCCAGTGGTTGTGTCGATGCACTGCCATGCCAGATACTGGGGTTCAAATCCCACCTCAGACACATTTTCACTCTCAAAACGGCAATTTATGTGTAGTGCGCAATTGTCACCTGTAGAGGGCAGTATTGTGTTGGGCATCAGTGGAGAGAAGAGAGAAAAGGCAGTCCTGTGGCATAGATCCATGGTTTTCAATGCATGGGCGTAACCCGCTATGACGTCACACACAGGTTAGAGCATAGACAACTTAAATTCATAAAAACACGTTCTTTTTATAAAATATAGGATTTTTTTTGCCGGAATCTATTTCAGATCGACATTGTCATGCAATTTTGATATCCACAATTTCTTTTTAAAAAACTCGGCATAAGGTCTTTAAAATTGAAAGAATTCTGATTGAAACACATTAAAAGTAAATTTTGCATGCTTTAGTTTATGTTTTTTGTTCATGCATGCTGAAACTGGAACTTGAAACTGTTTTTTTGGCTAACAGCTGCAGATAAACAATGTGTTGCTATGGTAACTAGCACCAGATCGGAACCAGTTACATTTTCACTAACTTTTATCTCAGTAGGTTTTGTTAATTTTCTGCATTTCAATTTCAGTGTGTTGGGTTTGTGCTAATAAACAGTTTCTTTCATTATAGCATTATTTTAAAGTGTTTAAAGCCACTCTGTGTAATTTTTACAGTTGCTCCAATTGAAAAAACATGTTCACCAATAACAAATGAGACTTTTTAACGAATATTTACCTCCACCAAGTTTTTGAATTGTTGTCATAGGGTTTAGAAATCGACTTATAAATGTCCATGAGGCTGGAGGACTCCACATCACAATCCTCCATCTTGAAATACAGTGGCTGATAAGGGACAAAAAGGAGTTTGAGCAGGAGTTGGGGACCACTATCAAAGACGATATATTGTCCTGCAAAGCTAAAGTAATACCGTAGACTAAAATATATGATCTCAACGCTAGATGGGAGTAAAAACTACAGTGTACCTTTAGAAAGTATTAATCAAGAGTTCATGACCTTGTACTGCCCTGCTTAGCTGCAGAGGTCTGACAGGATCTGGCTCCCACATGCAGGTGGCGCTAAAACAATGATATGATAAATATGAAGGACCTGACCTCACATTTCATGCATCTGCGCAATATTTTCAAATCATGTTCGAATGTGCAATCTGGCACCACATGTGTCCGCCGTCACTTTGCTTAGTCACTTTTGTCACTTAGAGCCTCGAGGTGCTATCATGTAGATTCATCTCTGTGAATATTGGACCCTTCAGAGCTAATTACTCACTACCTTCATATTCTTGAGTGTATTACATATTTATCTACACAATTATACAGACAAGTACATATTTCTTGCACTTGCCATATTTTATACTGTGCCCTTTTGAAGCTGATAGAGATTCTGTTTTTTTGTTTTTGTTATTTGTAAGTACAGAATTGTGCTACACTTAAGATAGTATAAGATATTTGTTCCACAGTTTCCACAGTGGAGAAATTGTTAGTGTCATCGTTGCGCACATTACAGCAGAGAGAGAAGGAAATAAGAGCACTCAGATTGCACACAGAAAATGGAGTCTGTTATTTTAGACAATATAATTTAAATATTAAAATAAGAGGGTAAAATAGGATAAAATAAAATGTATTCACTTATCTTGTGATGAACCGCTTTCCTACTGTTCTGTAACTTATGATGCAACACTGAATCTAAATAATAGTAAGTAAAGTAAGTAAAGTTTATTTATATAGCGCATTTTACAGACCAAGGTCACCCAAAGCGCTTTACAACGTTCAAAGTTCAGATATTGTTCCAATCATTCCACACACGGTGAATGGCTAATAAACCCATTTCAATTCAATTTATTCTTGAATTGCCCTAAATTACAACAGTAGTTATCTCTTGGAGGACTTTTGAAATCTACAACACAGATCAGAGAATCAAAAACAAGAAATTCAATGATATAAAAAACATTGGTCATTGGTCCATAAGCGGCAGATGAGCAATGTCCATAAATGTTGATAAATGTGTAGTGTCCTGGAGCATCACCTCTGCTTCTGCAAAGGAAAAAACATATTTGGTTCTTTTAATAAATGTTCTACTTTGTGTGCGCAGAAAACAACCTTCCGAACAGCTCCAGCGTGGAAGTGGAGGTCACCCCACCCATGAACGGGACAGCTGGCCAAGAAGGAGAAACGGTTTGTCTCAATGTGGCAGATTTATAACGGGAAACTGAGCTGAACTCTCTCTCTCTGCTGCTGCTGCTGCTGAGAGAGAGAGAGAACCTCCTATCAAAGTTTCTCCCTGACATCTATGAATAATTGATGTTTCTCATCTGCCCCCGTGCTTCACCTTGAGTCTGATTGATGCCAAGTTAGCGACGACTATAGCACAGGTCACTACTGCTGATAATTTCCCAGCATGCAGTTGGGCACGTCCCTGTGTTCAGCTGGAGACACGCCTCTTCCCACTGAGCCGCGTAATCACAATCTTCACAGTCCCTCTGTGGCAGACACACACACACACACAGACTCAGATAGACACAGACACACACAGGCACAGACAGACACAGATAGACACAGACACAGACAGACACACACAGAGAGACACAGACACACACACACAGAGCCAGACACACAGACAGACACACACACACACCCACACACACAGAGAGACAGAGACACACACACAGAAAGACAAACACACAGAGCCAGGCACACACACAGACACAGACAGACACACACACACAGACACAGACGCACAGACAGACGGAAACATATACACACACACATGCACATACACAGACACACACAGACATATATACACACAGACACACCCACACACACACACAGACAGACAGAAACATATACACACACATACACATACACAGACACACATACACACAGACATACACACACACACACACCTACACACACGCCAGCAGAGTGGTGCCATTTTTTATTTATTTTTTTAAGCCTAGCGTACATTGACAGAGTAACTGGAGACAACTAGTTGAAGGCGGCTTTTGGCAACTGAGAGGAGATGATGGAGATGATCAGTTGCCAAAATCGGTCGATGTGAGCGCTCTTACAACTGGAGATAAACAGTCGATCTCCGGTTTCAGTCAGTTGCCCGTGTTCTACTTTTTGGCAACTAGTTGTCCTCAGATCCATTGCGCGCCCCTCTACAGTTTATGTCAGAAAACACACTGTAGTTGAGGCCAGTTGCTGTCAATGTACGCGCTGTTATTCCCAAGACTGGTCTGCTACTGGGAGTTGCCCGTTTTCGCCAGATTGTCAATGTGCAGCAACTCATATGCGACGGATATAATCAGTTGCCAGTCTGATGTACGCTAGGCATTACTAGACATTCGACATAACAAAACATAACATAAATAACTAAATAAGGTTGAGCAGAGTTCCAGTTAGATATGACACAACCTTATGCAAAACCATTTTAATTTGTTTTTAACCATGTTACCTCACATGAGCAAAGCAAAGCAAGTTTATTAGCATAGCACAGTTAATACACATGGCAACTCAAAGTGCTTAACAAAAAACAACAAAGAAACAACGATACAAGACATATAATAATGAATCACAGTACATTAAAGAGAGTGAAGATACAGACAACAGAAATCCTTCTGTTGTTGCACAAATAAACAAACACACTGTTTTTGATATGATAATAATAAAAACAAACACAGCTTTATCCAAACAAAATCCTCAGTTGGAATATTCATTTCTCCTGCGACATATGACCACATTTATCTTGTGGCTGAAACATATTCTTGAACATGTTTTGCCATCAGAGCGCAGCAGTCCTCTCCCTGGCAGAGCTGTGAGGTGGGACAGTGCCATGTGGGACTGAGCCACCGTGTGCAGGTGGCCGTGCACACACATTGGAAAAGCTTACTGGCATCATGTCTTATTCCCACTTGGAGTTATTTTGAGAGCCTGTCCCATGATGCACCTGTCTGTGTCAGCTGGAGGCCTGTCATTCTAATTGTTTGGCTCCTCCTGGACTTCTTAGGAGCCTGTTTGGGGAATAACAGAAAATAACAGGAAGTCCCTGTTTAAATAACATTTAGTAAGCAGCAGTGGTGTCCAAACTGTCTCCAGGCTTACTTGTGAAGACATCCACATTAGACTTAGGCTGAGAACGTATTCTAACATCAACAATATAAATAAATAAACATATCTGCGCCTTCATAGGCTCTGCTGTCATACGTTTATAATATTCCTAATCAGACGAGGTGACATCCTCTGCATCAGCAGAGCTCGGCTGCTCGCTCCTGGACCTGTGCAGACTGTGCTGTGCTTGAGCCTAAGTATGATTGTGTTTGAGTGAGTGATTAGTGCTGTTACCGTGGCTACAGTAGTAGCTTACCACAGGGTTAAGTGAATGTAAAATCCAATGTAAATTGACTGAGCCACAGTCAAAATTGTTCTAAAAAGCAGATGCAGACGGCACAAGAGTATAACAGCAGTCACACGACCTTCAAGCTCAGAGTCACAGATTTCTGATGTTTAAGACATTTTGAAGCAGTGCTATTTTCTTATGACGTGAAGCTGATGTTTTCCCCTGGGAGAGAATAACAAATGCCAGGCCTCCTCTGGCTGTAGCGCCAGGGAAAAGTCAGGTGCCTTTAAGCTTGGCGCTGCCAGCTGAGGCGCCACAGGGCAGGAAGCACCCAGGGGCTGGCATTTACAGACTGACCCACAGGGGGCGCTGAGACGCTCAAGGCTTCAGTGAAAGGACAAAAAAGCACAAGTAAAGCTGTGGATTGAGAACTCTTGAAGAGATACACACGTTCATGTATCTCACAATCGTGACTTCTCCAATGAGGGGTTTTTGTATCTCTAGATGTTGATGCTTGTTTGTTTTAGTAGCTGCCAAAAGAATCCTTCAGACTTGGCAACCCCAGAGGCTGTATACTGTAGGTGCGTGATGGGAAGAAAAACAGGGTGAGGATGGCTGAGAAGAGTAGCCCTTCCAAAAACAAAAACTAAAAAGCTCTCAAAGGGCGAGTTCAAAACACACCAAAAGCTAGTTCAGAAGCTAAAACACAACAAATGCCATGTGAAGATGAATATTACAATATAAAGAAGGCATTGCAATTCTGCATTGCATTCTTGTATAACTGTAAATCACAAATAGTTATCTCAGACTTAACAAAACTGTTGAAATCACCAACATAGATCAGAGAATTAAACAAACACAAGAAATGCAATGATTAAAAGCACATAGAGCCATTGGTCCATAAGGGGCAGATGACCAATGTCCATAAATGTTGATAAATGTCGAGTGTCCTGGATCATCCCCACTGCCCTTAGACCCTCCTGTATCTGCAAGGAAAAACTCTTAACGCATTGCAAAGCCGCCTACCCAGCGCTACTGCCCAGTGAGTTATAATGTGTGAAAATCTCTGCACATGCAAGGCTTTGGCTCAGGTATGATCGGGGAGAGGTTCTTTCACTGAACAAATGAGCCATCTGGATGTGGAGTGGGGTAAATCAGAACACTGAGCATAAGTGATGCAGAGCCGTCTTTTGTTTTGCAGCTTGCATTACCAAGGTTACGAGGCAGTTGGGCTTAGAACGCCATATGATTCATGAACCACACAGTCCTATTTAATACTCTCATTTTCTCCCTGAATAAGTCTGTTTAGTGAACTCTGCCATATTTGTCATGAAAATGAGTTTCTCTTGCCCTGCTTTAATCCGCTCTGCAGCTCTCTTGAGGAGGACATTCACACCGTCAGTGTTTGGCTCAAACGTGCAAGTGAAGACCTGTCTGAGTCCCTGTGGTACTGAGCATCACAGGGATTCAGCTCTTGTTTACTGCCTCCTTGTCTGGCATGTGTTATTATAACTCCAGCCCGGATCAGGAAGAAGTCCTCCACAGTTTTGTTCATTCATTAGTTTGTGCCATAACTCAAAATATTTTGGGAGGATATGGACAACATCCATGAAGGCACAACGAACATGAGACTATACATTTGAGATGCCTTGTTCTGAATGACCCAAAGCCACAGCCCCGAGGTCAGAGCGGAAGAGAAATGACCGAAAGTTACTTTGTCAATCAAACTTAACAACTCTGCCTTGTTCTGAAGTCAGGGCGACAGTGGCTCTGTTGGTAGAGCATTGGCCACTTTGCCCGAAGTCCCCAAGGCCGAGTCTTCACTGAATGAGCAACAGCCATCCTTCAGTGATGGACAGGTGCTATGAGCATTGGGTGGCAGCTCTCAGGGGAAGAAAATGAATGACTGAATGAGTCGTTGTCACATTTATTTAACTCTTTGTTCTTGATCGCCCATATGCCAGCAAAGTGCTGGATGCAGAGAGAGATATCAGAAAAGCATACACTAATTCACACTAGTGTCATCAATGATTAAATGTTGCATTGGTGATCAAAGGAGGCCGGTGTTGAGCTCCACATCCTGCAGAAGCTGCTCAGTGCCAGGCGGCGAGTGTAGAACAGAAGCAGCTCCGGGTGACAGCGGCTCACATTGTACTCCTTAAACCTCAGACGTCACCGCAGACAATCCTGACCTTTCTATGCGCCGCGTCACATAGTGTGGTCTAGGATTGTTTCCAAATATAGATGATACTGTGAATACTATTGTACTGAGTTAGGTCATAAATATGTATTTGTGTGCACTCAGGCAGAGGAGGAGGAGGAGGACGACCAGCCCCTGAGCCTGTCCTGGCCCGAGTCCAACCGCAAGCGCTTCACCTACCTCTTCATCATGCCCATCGTGGTCCCACTGTGGCTGACACTCCCAGATGTCAGGAAACCGGTACCAGGACATCTGACCATCACAGACATGCTGTACTTCAGGAATATTCTAACTCTGTTTCTCTTTCAGACTTCAAAGAAGTTTTTCCCTGTCACCTTCGTGGGCTCCATCAGCTGGATAGCAGCGTTCTCCTATCTGATGGTGTGGTGGGCTCACCAGGTACTCATTGGCCTTCAACAATACACACACAATAGAGTGCCAGGAAGAGATATGGTAGATTTCTCTTCTATTTAATTTCGAGTTCCCTGAACACATACTATCCAGGTATAATTGTGTTAAAGATTATATTATCTCGTGTTACGTTTTGTCACCAGCAAAGCCAGCTGCCAATCTCAATGAGAAAATTAAAAATAGCCAGGACATAAGATTAGTTTTTTTATTTACCCCAAAGCTTAGGTTGTGTATATTTTTTCTTTCCGCAGGTTGGAGAGACTATTGGGATTACTGAGGAGATTATGGGCCTGACTATATTAGCAGCTGGAACATCTATCCCTGACCTCATCACCAGTGTTATTGTGGCACGCAAAGGCCTCGGGGACATGGCAGTGTCTAGCTCTGTCGGCTCCAACATTTTTGACATCACTGTGGGGTATGCCAGCTAACTTTTTTGTTAATAAATGCTTTTGTTTATTCTCCAAAAGTCATGCAGGAAAATCAACAACAATCTTACATACATATCAACATATATGTGTTGATATAAATGTATTATTATTTGTTCACAATAGAACATGGACTCCTTCAGGCATAAAAGATATTTATGTGACAGAATAATTGTAGTTAAATGAGTGCAAATACTTCTGAAGTTAGTCAGAGAAGTTTCTGCTACGAACACTGGTTAGTCCCGCCCCTGCTTACCTCTCCTGCTTCCTGATTGGACAAAATGATTTTCAAGCCTTGAGGCCTCTCTCCATTGCTTTAACAATCCTCCAGATAATCATACTAGAGTCTGTAATACCAAAGGAAAGGACTTTGTACAAAAATCACAAAGCCAGCTGGTTTTGACCTATATCGGGGGTGTGTTGTTGTCACTGTGTTGAACGAGTGAGGGCCACATCTGCGTCTGCTTCGTCCAACCCCTTTCCAAACTGTGTCTTGCTGCATCTTGTTTCTTTTGCCTTTCATCCATAAGACACACATAACACACATCTCCTTCTCCTTCAACAACAACAAACGTACTGATAAATGGCTTGTTGCGTTGCAGGCTCCCGTTCCCCTGGCTGCTCTGGTCCTCCTTCAACAACTTCAGCCCAGTCCAGGTGAGCTCCAACGGGCTCTTCTGCGCCATCGTGCTCCTCTTCCTCATGCTGCTCTTCGTCATCATCTCTATCGCCGCCTGCAAGTGGCGCTTGAGCAAACTCCTGGGCTTCATCATGTTCATGTTGTACTTCGTCTTCCTGGTGGTCAGCGTCATGCTCGAAGATCGCATCATCACCTGCCCCGTGTCCATATAAGGACTTCCTTCCACCACCACCACCACCACCACCTGCTGCTGCTGCTGCTGCTGCTGGAATGGAACCCACAACCTAAGTAACGCATTAGTGTTTCAACCACGCTTCTGTGATCAGGACTTGGCAGGTCACAGGAGGAAGTGGTCAGATGTGGCCAAGCCTTCTCTGGTTCTTAAGTTTATATTTATTTACAGCATATGGTTAAGCATAAGAAAGCATAAATCCCAGGCCATGATCTCTTTTTTTCTTTCATTTTGGAGACCTAAAGCAGATCTTGTACCGGTAATTGCAACTGATTTGAACGTGTGTAAAAAAAAAAATATATATATTGTGTTTATTAATTTAATGGAGGGCCAGGAATTGGGGTGTTTCAGCCAATTACTAAAACAATTATGCATGCCACTAGTGTTGCAATTTTAGCAGAGCGGACATTTCGGTGAAGAAGAAGAAGAAGAGGTTGACAAATGCACGTACAGACCAGAAGACTGTTGCCAAAGCGAATCGAGAAAACGGTGGACCGTGGGAATGGACATTTCGCTTCAAATCTGAGCGTGAAGGACTCTTTCGCTGCAAGGGGAACTATTTTTTTCTGGAAATTGATATTATTTTCTTCATCTCCCTTATAGGACTAACCTCTCCTCTTGCTCGCCATCTTCTCACCACTTTTTCCTCCAGGGTCCGTTTTTACTTTCCAAATACTTAACAAATAGATGGAGTTGTAGAAGTAGCAGTAGATGTATTGTAGCAGTAAAACGTCTCTCTATCTCTTGCCAATCCGCATTTGTCTCCTCGCATTTTCCACTTTTGTCCTGATTGTACAGCGTAACGAACGACGCAAGATTTTTTCGCTAAGTTTGAGAAAAGCTGCGAGGCACACATGCACTTCTACCAACACTCGCAACATTAGAGTATTTGAACATATTTTAGACTTGTCGACGTGTAGTGCTTTGTAGAGCTGGCCTGCATGTGAAAAAATGTACTAAATACCACCGGTCAGCATTGAAAAAGACACAGAGCCGTATGTACCGTAAGCCAAACCTGTCTGTGTAGAAAAATACCACTAATCATTGGCATTGGCATTTCTTTCCTTTTTCCAAGCCGAGGTGCTTTAGCATGCATGTTCATTCACCAATAGAGGTTACGCTAGCAGTATTTTACAGCAAAAAATATATTCTACGCCACTCTGTGTGTGTTTTGATACCGGACCTATAGAAGCATAATCTCTTTAAGAAATCTAGAATGTGGAAATCACAAATGAAACAGCAATACTTATACCATGTGTGCGTGTGTGTGCGTGTGTGTGTGTGTGTGTGTGCGTGTGTGTGCGTGTGTGTGTGTGTGTGTGTGTGTGTGTGTGCGTGTGTTAATGTTGAGACCCCATTTATCTGTAAAACCAATATTATACCACTAGCCTTTCGAAGTACATCCAATATTACCCATAAACTTACCTTTAATTCTTAATTTACCTCAACAAAGTAACCCTCTTCAATGTAATACAGTAGAATATTATGTGAGACCGAGGGTAAATGCATGCAATGATTTTTGTTTGTTTTAGGCTGGTTACCCGACAACGGATGCTGTTATGGGTTCCAGTGACAAGATTGTAAATATATTTTTTTTTATTTTATTTTTTTGCAAAAGCCACATGGTTGGGACTTTTTTTTGTGCTCATGAAGAGGAAAAACGTGTCGGACTGCTGTAGACGAAGGATATTTATTTTTTGGATAGAACAACAAGGCACTATGAAGACTGTATATGAGATGATTTGGTGCCTGGAAGAATTTCAGAAATATATACATAAAAATGGAGAAATATAATGGATTTACATCATATAGCAAATTGTAGATATGTCAAATCAAATGACAAGCAAACAGGCTGGAAGCAGAATCCAACAAAAATAAAATCTCCAAAAGTGGTTGAAAGCAGCGGGTGATCGATGCAAAAATGCTTGACCAACTGACGATGTTGAATTCTTGCCTTTATTTCTACAAGGATGGTATTGAAGCCTACATTTCCCATGAATCTTTGCTCTGTGCACCTCACCATCCCTTTAAAAAGCATCTCACCTCGCCACTGCATTTGTCCCTGCTCTCTCTCCGTAGTTCTGACTGAAGGGAAGGGCACTATACAACATTCTTTCACTGTACATGTTCTTTTCTTGGTGTTGGTGTAAGATTTATTTCAAGTGTACATATATACAGATACAAATTAACCACGATATAATCTATATGTGTAAAAGAAAAATGTCTCTTTATGTAAAAACACAAAGTATATTAAAAAATCAATAAAGATCATTCAAATATGCAACAGCGGCTTTACTGGTGTGACCTATTTTCATTCTGATGAGTGGAGCAGTGTTTCCCAAAGTGGGGTCCTCAGAGTTTGCAAAAATAAAAAACAATTGATAATATTACTCAAACTTTAACGAGATTTAGTTTACATTCTACACGAAGATAAACACTACTTTGTAAATAACCATCATTTTAGTTCTGAAAGAAAAACATAAAAAACAAATCTTGGGTTGGGTCGGGAAAGATTTTCAGATGAGTGTGGTCCCACCTACATGTGAAAGTCAGATCCTGTCAGACTTATGATGCTAAGCAGGGCAGGGTCTGGTTAGAACCGTGATGGGAGACCTCCAGGAACACCAGGTGCCACAGTGGGGCGGCTGCGGCTGTAAAGTGACAAACTGTTGTTGTGTCCGTAGGCAAGACTCTTCACCTATTTGCCTATGAGTCTGGTGTGTGTGTGAATGGTTAGTGGTGGTCGAAGGGGCTGATGGTACATACTGGTTGCCTCGCTTCTGTCAGTGTGCCTCAGGGCAGCTGTGGCTACAGTAGTTTATCACTGTGTATGGAGTGAAAGAATAATGCCATGTGTAGCGTCTTTGAGTGTTAAATAGTTTTATCGTTATTATTATAATTATGTTGATGATTATAGATCCATGGGGGGAACTCGGTGTTAAAGATTTTGGTAACGACTGGAGTGGACAATTATTTTTGTGGAACAGGGCGCCATCTGGTGACTACAGACAGGTACTTCATTTTGGGTTATGCAATCCATTACTGCCATTAATTCCGCGAACAATTTGTAAGGAAGAAAGTATACACAATCCAAGTTATTTGACTCTTTCACTTTTTTACTGAAATACCACAGTATAATGATTAACAACAACAATAAACATGATTATAATCAAATCAAATCAACCTTTGTTTGTACCTTTTCCTTCATAATTGGTAACACAAAGTGCTTCACAGCCCACATCACATGAGGCACAAATCATCACATAAATCATAAACATTAAAATCACAAAGGGCATTAAAAACAAACATTAGAATCACACATGGGATTTAAAAAAATTCAAGATAAAAACCTTCATTTGTACAGGGAAACAGTAGTGTCAGAGTAGAAGTGTCTCACATAATCAGGAAGACTGTTCCAGATTTTAGCTGCATGAATCTGAAACGCAGCCTCCACATGTTTAGTCCTGACTCTGGGCAGCAGCAGGAGGCCAGTCCCAGCAGGAGGCCAGTCCCTGTGCTCCTCAGAGTCCAAACTGGTTCATATGGCACCACCAACAAAAACAACAATAATACATTAGATTATTATGATATTAAAAATCCATGTGCATACACTCAGAGACACTTGAACTTGCTCCACAGTGATGGGAAACCATACCCAGAATGCACTCTCTCCAGAAAAACTTGTTCAGAACGTGTTAGCGATGATCGATGGTCTGTCGAGTTTCCTGCAGTAAAACTTAACGCAAGGAATCAAGAAAAATAACATTGTAATGATGTTGCTCTGTTCAAAGTACGGGAAATGTTTACGACCGAACTGTGCTTTTGACTCAGTTTCTTGGATTTATCTCATTAAATCACAGAGGCCTTCACAAACTAATACTTGTTCTAATTAAACACAATAAAGTACTGAAATATTCCTTATGATGCTAAACTAGAAATGTTATACTTGCTTCCCATTCCTATAGAAATTAGGAGCACACAATAATCCAATCCACTTTATTTAGTATATACCACATTTTATAAAACAAGTTTCCAAAGTGCTGCACAGAGATAAAATCAAAACATTAAAATATGCAAGTTTGCCTTATGTTAAAATACATAAAAGAAGTAAAACATTATGCACAAAGTCAAAACAATACAATCGTAAAAAAAAACAATAAAATACCAGTTAACAATAACTGGTATTATTCAACACGAGATGAATGAACAATAACGCAAAAATAGAAAAACATAAAATCTCATTATAAAGAAGAAATATCTCTAGTTTTGCTCTTTTTCTCCGCTGTTAAAGTACAACATCGACATCTGTAAATACTTCTGAACCAAGTGCAATTATAGCTCCAAAGTTTTTTTTGTTTTTATTCTATTTTAACATCTTATTTTCATTATTTTAATTCTGTTGTTTTATGTCTGTACTTGTCTTGTGCACACTGGGAACTTTTGCTAATGTATTCCAATGTGGTTTTACTGCAAATGGCGAATAAATGAATCTGATCTTATATTGTCTAATATCTTAAATAAAAGACTGTTTTTCGTTTGGTAAATAAACAGCTAAATCTCTATCAGCCTCCAGTGTTATTAGTTAGTAGTTTGGAAGATGGGCTCTCTGGCGAATAGAACTCATACTTTTAGATATTTATGAGATTGATTTTAAAACCCCGCTTGATTCTTTTAGTTGGGTCTTGAGACTTTTCTTTCCCTCTCTTCAGATAGGGTATCTCTATATTAGTCAAAATTAGACCATTCTTAGAACAAGCACACCCTTATAAAGGTAGATATAAGGGAATTTCCAATAAGGAATAGTTACTACCGTGCAGATATGTAGTGTATCCAAATACCTGTACATCTAAGACATATATGCATTTAGTTACCCCACATCTTTATTAGGCTAATATAGAATTTGGCATTTTACTCTTGTTCGTAAATTATGCATGTATTTGTTTTGTTTGTATATGGATGGATGTGTTTCTGCTGATGGAC